CTTCATGGAATGGGTTGCCGTTTTGAATAATACAAAATCAGGAAATTCAACATAAAGACCATACTTCAAACCCAACCCAAAGCCTGCAACCTAGAGAAATCCAGAGTGAAGGTCCTCCATTCCGGTCCACAGGGGACGTCGGCTCTAAAGCCCAGTGGTGCGATGGTTAACCATACCCCTGCCGATCACAGAAGCTGAAATATCCAGCTGCTCTAGCAGTATGGGTGGGGCTTGGCAGTTGGGGGTGGGGCTTGGGTGTTGTACCAACCCTTTCCCCAGCTCTTTAACCCCGGCCTCCAGCCGTGTTGGCGCTCAAAGAGGTGAACAGCAGAATGGGGGCAATGGACAGATAAATCCCAGGTGGGAAGGAGCACTGAACTGGAGCACTTTACCATCCTGTGAGGGTGCTGCTTTTCAGTGGAGCCAGACATCCCCTCCCTCCTTTTGCACTTATTGGGAGTGTTTTGTTGCAGTATTTTGTCCGGACATTTCCCATTGTGGAGCAGCATGTGAGGAAGGCAACAGGAGAGACTCTGTTCCAGCTTTTTATGGTAAATGGGCTTCTCTAACTGCCAGGGCTTGTTACTGGTCTGGAACATGGGTCCATTTTGCAGGATTAATGGGGACTGGGTTTCATTCCTCTAAAGCTGCAGTGGAGCTCCAGTTCCTGATCAGACTCCAGAGACCACTGGGGTCCGATCACAGTGTCCTCAGTTAAATGAATTGCTTTGGTTTTGGCCCAACACCCCCAAAGACTTCACTCCATGCAGTGGATATCAATGTGCACTTGCACTATCCATCTGTACTAATGAGGTGGGACAATGGTGCAAATCACAGCGGGACCTGAGTTCTGAAGTCTGGGAAGAGGGGATGGTTCTTTTCTGACTTGGGGCCCGTCTTTAGTGTAAATGGAGTAACACTGAGGGACGTGTCTGGACTCACATTTGCGTGGGGATGTTGGAAAAGTGGTGAGACTTGCAGGGCTAGCAGTGTACCCAGAACGAGGAGGTAGGCATGAGCCTCCGTCTGAATCTGAGCTCTCCTGCCTTGAGGTAGCTCAGGACTGAACACCATGTAAATCAGCGGAAGCCCTGTCACATGGGCCCTTTAAACCTGAGCAGGACAAAGCCATAGGAAATGTCCTGCAGGCAACAATCCTGGGCCGAGCTCAACTCAATGGGAGGGACTTGAACTAGGAGGTTTCCTGCATCCCAGGTGTGTATCCTAACCACTAGGCTAAAAGTTGTTAGGGAGGGCCTCCTTCTCCTGTCCCCCCACTGCTGTGTCTGTGGAAGCCTGCTTATAGGGACCTGCTCTGGTAAGTGTGTACAGAGCTTTGCCTACCAGATTGGGCCCTGTGGGTGTTTGAGGTGGAGGAATGTCTGTCTACCCTGGTTTGTGCATCACAGTGGGGGTTAGGAGTCCAGATGCCTTGTGTGGGGCTGCAGTGCGGTCATGTACAGGCATTAACATAGGCACCTAAGGAACTTTTGCTGCAAAAATGTGGATGCCGAGTGAAATGAGACATCTAGAAAGTTCAGCAGCAGCTGAGTAGGGGTTTTGGGAATCCCAGTGGGGCCTGATTCTGGGATTTAGGTGCCTAAGGTGACAATTCGGTGCATAAGTCCTTTTGTGAATCTAGCCCCAAGTGATCAAAGAACCAGGGTTAAGGATGCATTGTGCCCAGGGGATAGCTGTGGGTAATGAATATGCTGTAGCCAAGGAAATGACTGAAATGTGTTTGTTTGTGTGCTGATTTTATTAGGAATTGATACTATGGGTGGATGTTACATAATTTGTGGGTTGGGCTGTACCTCCATGACATTTTTCAGCTGAGTTCTACCCCCAAAAAATCATTGAATGAACAAATAACATAGGGAATACATAACTACTTGATTAAAAAACCAGTGAACTAAGAACACAGTGCAAACCTGAGGCCAGTGGAACTGTGGCATGGCCAAACCGAAGGCTCCTAAACTCCTGAAGGTGATGTGTTTGAAGGGGTTCTCCTTCTCCATATCTTGGTAGGTGGATTGTTCTGGAAGGAGTTGTAAAGCTTGAATGAAATGGTGGTCCCAGTCTGGTGTGTTCCCTATAGTCTGCAGGACATTGCAAGGTTGGGGAGCAGTGCTTGACCTTTGTCACAAAAGGTGCTCCAACAGCGCTGTTTGAGTCTGTATCATGTCCCTTTCCAAGGCCATGCACTCTACTTTGATGCTTTGTGGTTGCACCAGGAAACCTTCCCTCCAAACTTCTGCCTTCAAGGTCCTCTGTTGGGATGCAGTCACTAGTTCCTGGAACATTTCCTCTCTTGTCCTTGTTTTTCCAGCCTCTCTGCAGCTGCTAACTTCCCTCTTCGCACAGGCCGTGGCGTTACAGGTGCTAGAGGAAACCAGAAAAAACACAAGGCCTTACTATCCCCAATCCTAGTCTCCATGCCAACAATGATACAATGTTTCTTTCCCCACCATTTTGGAAGGCCATTCCCATCTTCTCTTTCCACGCTGAGGTTTGCTTCAAGGTGGTAAGATATTTTCCAAATTACTCCCCCTTGTATAGGTCTCTTGTCAAAATGCTGGGTGGGTGGCTGTGGTGTACTTAGATGAGTGTTGGCTGTGGGGTGGGTGGCTGTGGAAGTTTTAGGTGGAGGGGGCTGTTGGGTCGGTGAGGGGCAGCATGGCGGAGGTTAGCAATTGCCTGTACACTCCTGCAGGCTGTCCTTACGTTGGAGGACCACTTCCCAAGAGACACGGCAGAGTCTTGTTCAAAAAGGGCGCTGGGCAAACCAGGAAGATATGCAGCCTTGCTATTTACCAGGAGGATGCCGCCAGCTGGTGCAGGGGGGAAAGGGAAGCATGGGCAGTCCTAAAAGAACTCAAGTGTGTCAGAAATCAGTGTGTCAGAAATCAAGACTGGCACCAGAGCCAGTCTCTGGGCAGCCTCAGGTGCACAGCTGGCTTATAGGGAAAAATCAGAAAACCATCTCTGAAGCCCAATTCATCATCACATGGGCAAGTAGTGGGAGCATTACCAGAGATCCTGTTCTTGTTGCTTGTCTTCAGATACTTCTGCTGGAGTTCCTTTGCTTTGACTCAATGCTGGGACCAGCTCCATGAGTGTCCCCTCACCTTCACTCCTCTGGCAGTGTCTTGTAGATGTGTTAGTTCTGGTGACTCATCTCCAGATGGGACTGGACATGCTGCTAGCTCTCCAAAGAGGACTTTGTGGAGTCTCTGGCTCCTCCTCTTTTAGAGTTAAAAACTGCTGGGGAAGGATTTTTCTTTTTGATCCCCCCCCCCCATTTTTGATGGGAGGATTTATTGGGTAGCGGGGGTGTCAGTGCTGGGAGTCAAGGGGGGTGGGTGAGGTAATATCTTTTGTTGAAACTACTTCTGCGGGTGAGAGAGACAAGCTTAGAGCTCTCTGTAAGCTCAAAAGCTTGTCTCTCTTACCAGCAGAAGTTGGTCCAACAAAAGGTATTACCTCACCACCTTGCCTCTGTAATATTCTGGGACGAACAGGGCCACAATAATACTGCATACAGTAGTGCTGGGAGCGTCATTCTGAAATACCTCTTGCACTCTGGAAGTTAATTTCACAGCCCGAAATGCCTGAAGTGCAGAGCCCCTGTTCCACACCACACCCACAATGTGGGGATGCAGTTCAGCCCTGTGCAGAGGCTGAGGGCTGCAAGGGCATTGTGCAGGTGAGCTTCCCCTTGGCCAGGCCGAACCCAAACAGCTGCTGGCGCTTGACACAGGGAAAGACACCGCCTTACAGCTTTCACCGTAAATACATGGAGGTGTTTGTAATGTAACCTCCTGCTCAAGGAGAGAGCAAGGAGTCCAGGCTGGGGATGGAAGTGGGGTGGCCAGTGACTGTCCCCTCTTTTCCATTATCCCTGATTATTTGGGTCCTACAGGCAGGGTCAGGATCAGGGCCTCCCCCCTTGTTTCCCCATTTCCCCTGTTGGCGTCACTAGGCATAGCTACCAAGTTACTCGGGGGGGGGGGTGGAAGGCCATAAGTGCCGATGAAACCCCCCTGCTCTGGGTCTAAGTGAGCCACAGTAACTCCATCTTGTGAACTTTAACCAGCCTCAATACTAACCAGCCTAAAAGCAGAATATGTAACGGTCAGCTTTTTTAGCAGACAGCTGCAGTTTCGCTCACACTAGCAGAAGCAGTAGTGATAAGGAGGGGGAAAGGGGGAGGGAGAAGCCTACTACGTCTTAGCTTGCAAGGCCAAAGATAAACATGCGGACGAGAACTTTTCTAACACGCCACAATGTAGTGCCTGCTGTAACCGCCGTCGGGAAGGGAGGGGTAAGGGAGGAACAGAACAAAGGCTTGCACACAAACAGCTTGGAATATAAAATGGGAAACTTGCTTGTATTAGCTGCGCTTCTGATTTGAGACATGCTGGTCTCCTGAGGGCCTTTTCGAGATCTCCAATAAATTTGGTTTGCTTCTCCACCCTGGTGTGCCTATTGGTGCGACGCACACCGGGCAACGAACCCTGTTGCCCCCTCGGGCCCTCTGGGCCGGCAACACCCCCCCTCCGGTTGCCCCTCGCCTGCAGGCCCGGACAGAAGGGGAACCCTGCCTGGCGTGGCAGCACCACGTGTAAGCTGGGCAACTGTGACCTCCCCGCCCCAGAAGGACTACATCTCCCAGCGTGCACCGCGCGTAGAGGCCCCGCAGCGCTCTGAGAGAGGGGCCCGCGGCATGATGGGAGTGGTAGTTCCCAGTAGGTGCGCTAGGCCGGAGTCCCTCGGCATGCTGGGAGATGGAGTTCCCTGTACACGCACAGCATGCTGGGGGTTGTGGTTCCGAGGCCGCGTTTCCCGGTAGGCCCTGCGGCACGCCGGCGCGCGGAGTTTAAATCGGCGGCGGTTGCGGGGGGCCCGCCATTCCCAGCTGCTGATTGGACGCGGTACCGCTGGGACCACAGACCCCTTCACGCCTCCCCGTTTCTAGCGGCCCCGAGGAACCCCTCCCCTCCCCCCCGCGCTATGGACTCCGCGGTCTGCAGCCGCCTCCAGCCCGGCCGGCTTATTAAGATTCAGCGGAGCAACGGTGAGTGCGGGGGGAGCGTTCGGGGTGTCTGACAGGACTGACCCCCGCCGCTTTCCGTACCGCCCCCTTCAGCGAGGTGTGTGTGTGTGTGGGGGTCTGGCTGCGGGGGGGTCAGCGGGGGGGGCAGGCAGAGCCCGAGACGTGTGGGGCTGGACGGGCCCCTCGGGCGGAGGCAGGAGCACAGAGCCCGTCGCTGGTGACTGGGGCCTAACTCTCCCCGCGCGGCGTGTCCCGGGCGGGAACAATGGCTCCCCCCTCCTCGTAACGCCCTTTCCCCTTCCCCGGGGCCTGTCCTCGGGTCCCCGCCCGCCCGCGCCGGCTCTTCTCCGGCCTCCGCACGTCCCCCGTTGTCCTTCGCACCTTTCATCACCGGCGCCGCGCTCCAGCGTGGCCAGCGCTCCCCCGAGGGCCGGGCCGCAGGAGAGGGGAGAGGAGCTACTGCCCTGCCTCGCTCCCCGCGCGCCCCCCCTGCCTCGCTCCCCGCCTCGCTCCCCGCGCGCCTGCTGACGCGTGGCGGGGTGAGGGGGGTTGGGGCTGGGGGTTTGTTTTGCAACAATAGACATTGTTGACTCTATTTAGTGTTTGATCCGCTATTAACCCTAGATCCTTTTCTGTGGGACTCCTTCATAGGCAGCCCTTTCCCATCTTCTGTTTGTGCAAGGGCTCTTCTTCCTAAGTGGGAGCCTTTGCATTCATCCTTCTGGAATTGCATCCTATTTATTGCAGAGCAGCCGCCCTGTTAGTCTGTAGCCGCGAAAAGAACAGGAGTACTTGTGGCACCTTAGAGACTAACACATTTATTAGAGCATAATCCGAAGAAGGGGGCTGTAGCCCACGAAAGCTTGTGCTCTAATAAATTTGTTAGTCTCTAAGGTGCCACGAGTACTCCTATTTATTGCAGAACATTTCTCTAGTTTGTCACGATCATGCTGAATTCTAATCCTCTTCTCCAAAAAGCAGTTGCAGCCCCTCCCAGCTTGGTATCGTTTGCGCACTTTATAAAAGTGTACGCTCTAGGCTGTTATCCAAGTCATTTATGGAAGTTTTTAATAGAACCAGACCCAGGCCAGAGCCCTGCAGGTCCTCACTCAATATGCCCTTCCAGCTGGACTGTGAACCATTGATCACTACTTATGAGTATGGTTTTCCAGCCTTATAATAGGTTCGTCTAGGATCTATTTCCCCAGTTTGCTTATGAGAAGGTCACATAAGACCGTATCAAAAGCCATACTAAAGTTGAGAGATATCACATGTTACTCTCCTAAAGAAGGCTATTAGGTTGGTTTGACTCGATTTTTTTTTTCTTGACAAATCTGTATTGACTGTTACTTATTACCTTATCTTCAAGGTGCTTACAATTCATTGTTTGCACCATTATTTTTCCAGGTACCGCAGTTAAGGTGACTGGTCTATAATTCCGTGCGTTATCTTTTGTCCTCTTTTTATAGATGGGTTCTATATTTGTCCTTTTTCAGTGCTCTGGGATCTCTCTCTTCCTCCGCAAATTCTCAAAGATAATTGTTAATGGCTCAGGGATCTCTTCAGCCAGTTCCTTAAAATATTCTAAGGTGTATTTTGTCAGGGCCTGCTGACGTGAAGACATCTAACTTGTCTAAGTAAGGCCTGGTCTAGAATAGAAAATTAGGTCAGTGTAACTACATCTCTCAGGGGTGTGAAAAACCCACACCCCGTGAGCAGCATAGTTACACCAACCCAAGTCCTGGTGTAGATGGCGCTAGGTCAACTGAAGAATTTTTCTGTTGCTATAGCTACTGCCTCTGAGAGGTGGATTACCTATGGCAACAGGAGAATCCTTCCGTTGCCATAGGTAGTGTCTATGCTGTAGCATTTTAAGTGTAGACATACCTTAATTCTTAACTTGTTCTTCACCTATTTTAACCTCCGCTCCTAATCCATGTACGCTAATGTTAACTATGTTAGTCGTCCGATCACTGCTAATCTTTCTGGTGAAGACTGAAACAAAAAAGACATTTAATAATTTGACCATTGCTGCATTTTCTGTTGTCTCTCCCTCCTTATTGCGTAATGGGCCTACTCTGGCCTGGGTATTCCTCTTGCTTCTAGCGTATTTGTAAAATGTTTTCTTGTCACCCTGTATGTCCCGAGCTAGTTTAATCTAACTTTGTCCCTACATGCTTGTGGTTTTTGTTTTAAATTTATCCTTTGTAATTTGATCTACTTTCTAGGGATGTAAAAGGTTAACTGGTTAATCGTAAACCCTGGTGGCCCCGCTTCTGGTCAGCGGGAGTGGCCCCAGCCCGGGTCGTGCCAGCGAGACCTCCGCTGGGCTGTGTCGGCTGAGCTGGCTGGATCCCAGTCCCCGGCTGGATTGGCCCCAGCCCCCACCATGTCCCCCCAGCTACCTCGGTTAACTGGTTAAACAAAATAATTTTAATCGTTTAAGCAGTTAACTTTTTTAACCAATATTTACATCCCTACTACTTTCTTCTACCTTTGACTCTTTGAGTTTCAGGCCATCAAAAAAAAAAAAATCTCCTCCTGGTTAAGACAGGATGGTCTCTTATCATACTTCCTATCTTTCCTATGCATTCAGTTAGTTTGCTTTTGTGCCCTTAATAATGTCTATTTAAAACTGCCAACTCGCCTGAACTTTTTTTTTTCCTCCTAAGACTTGCTTCCTATGGGGTCTTATGTGCTAGTTCTCAGAGTTTGCTAAAGTCTGCTTTCTTGAAGTCCATTGTCTTTATTCTGCTGTTTCTCCTTCTACCATTCCTTAGCATGCCCCACCTCTGGGAAGCAGCCTCTCTACTGGGGGTGAGGGGGCAGGAGGAGAGCCCCCATCCACCCTGGGCCTTTGGGTTGCAGCGGGGACAAGTCCCTTTCTCCCCTGTCCTGTCATCACTGGGTATGCAGTGGGATTGTAAGAGCTCCATGCTGATATAGGGCTGTCTTATTCACTATGGCTGTGTGCATGTTTGTGCACACCCCATTCCCCCAATGTGTGCTTTTTCCCTCTGAAGCATCTGATACTGGCCAGTATTGGAAGACAGGATACTGGGCTACGTGGACCATTGGTCTGACCCAATATGGTCATTCTTATATTCTCACTCTTGCCTTTGGTTGCCTGTGTTGGACTTACTGCTTGTGATGCCCTCTAGGGGACTGGTCTTCTTACAGACTTTTTTCCTTTCCATTCTTGATGAAAGCTTTCCAATGACACCAGGCATATATGAGACTCTGTCCTTTCCAAAGGAGATTGAAAATGAAGGGATGCTGTAAACATGGAGTTTAGCAGATTTAAGTGTGTAATGATGCTGGTTCTGGCGGGACCCAGCTGAGAGTGTCAATTCAGGACAAATTGCTTAAAACAGGGCAGTTACAGCCCAAGGCTGGGGTTTTTCCACCTCTAAGGCAAGCCAAACCAGCCAGACTAAGAGGACTTTGGTTTCACCCCACTGGCTAACCACAAGTCACACAAGCAATTCCTTTAGACACTCCAGTTTCCCAGTATCACCACGAGTGCCACTCGTTATGGGGACACATGGTTATGAAAACCAATACCCCAGTAAAACACACAAAGGTTCTCTTGATCCCAAAGGACCAAGCCCCAGACCCAGGTCAATATACAAATCAGATCTTACCCACAAATAACGCTGTTGCCAATCCTTTAGAATCTAAAATCTAAAGGTTTATTCATAAAAGGAAAAAGATACAGATGAGAGTTAGAATTGGTTAAATGGAATCAATTACACACAGTAATGACAAAGTCTTTGGTTCAGGCTTGTAGCAGTGATCGAATAAACTGCAGGTTCAAATCAAGTCTCTGGAGTACATCCCCAGCTGGGATGGGTCATCAGTCCTTTGTTCAGAGCTTCAGTTTGTAGCAAAGTCCCTCCAGAGGTAAGAAGCAGGATTGACGACAAGATGGAGATGAGGCATCAGCCTTTTATAGTCTTTTTCCAAGTGTAAGAATACCTCTTTGTTCTTACTGTGGAAAAATTACAGCAAAATGGAGTCTGGAGTCACATGGGCAAGTCCCTGCATACTTTGGTGAGTCTCAAGGCATATTTGCTTTCTCTCAATGGGTCAGTTGTATAGCTGCTGGTCCTTAATGGGCCATCAAGCAGGCTAGGCAGAGCTGACACCAACTTGTCTGGGGTCACCCAGAAGCATAGCAGAAGTTTGAAATACAGACAGTATAGAGCCAATATTCATAACTTCAACTACAAAAATGATACCCATATACAGATAGCATAACCATAACCAGCAAACCATAACCTTGTCTTACACCCTATTTGACCTCCTTTATACCAGATTTGGTGCCACTACAGGACCTTGGTTGCAACCATGTTCTATATGGTCCCAGTTTAAGTCAATAACATGACACAGTGCAATTTAAAAAGTGGTTTCTGGTCCTAAACAGACCCTTGAACTCCCCCAGGCAATCTTTGTGTGTGGTTTTCTTTTTTAGGGGACGGTTTTTTCCACTTAAAAAAAAAAAAAGTCTCTTCCCTGGTTGCCGTGTAGGAAAACCTATATAAATGGGAAAACGTATACAAAGTGCTGTCAAAATAAACTAAGTAAGCCAGAAGTCTTTTCAGTGTTCGGGCTCTAAAAATAGCACATCGCATCCCTGCCAGAAAAGGTGTTGTCTTTAATGCCACAGCAAAGGGACAATAATAGCTTAATTTCCTTTGGGCTGCTGCGTCCTCAAAGGTATTGGCACTCCTAGGAAATTGCTGGCTGACAGCAGAGTTAACAGCTTCATTGCTTTTTTGTGTCTTGAATGTTTATCCAATATTTATACTGTAGTATGAAGGCCATTCCCAGGTCTTAACAATGGCTCATAGCTTCGGATACAGAATACTGGCAAATTCCTCTCTGAAAAACTAGCCTTCTAATCTTGAATTGGTATTACAGAGCTGAATATGGGGACTTGTTCTCTTCCGTATTACAGAGCTGAATATGGGGACTTGTTCTCTTCAGCAAAAGTTAAGTGTGTTGTGTTGAATGACCTGATGAAATGTGAACTTATCTTTAATCCTTAGGCTTAATTCACAGTGCAATTATAAAGACTGTAAATGTCGAAAGGCTGTCTGTCTCGGTAGAATGGTCAGAAGGGGACTCAACCAAAGGAAAAGAGGTGAGTGAGAGAGGCGTTCCCACGCTCACTCTGTCTGGAGTAAAGCAGCAACTTTGAATTGCATAGTTATAAAGCATGGAGCTGAAATCCATGACTCTATTAAATAAAGATCCTTTGGGCTTAAAGCCAGTTTTCTTACGTGTTTCATAGAATTCTGTGGCTCATTAAACTGAGGGCTAAAAATATAATCTTAGTATTTCTGTCACCTAGGACAAGGAGAACAGCTTGGGCAGTTCACTTTTTGCTTGTAGTATGTTCTAACTCTTCAGATTCAAATGCATAAAAGTTGTAATTTGGTTTGTAAATGCTGCAGATGAAGGTTTATCTGTTGCATTACGTTCCAATGAAAATTAAGATTTTATTGCCCTTTCAAAAACTAAGTCTGTTTTTTACAAATCCTTAATTTTGGGCCATGTTTGTCTTTGGCTCTTTAGTTTGAGGGTAGGAAAGCTGTGAAAACCCCTTATCGCTCATTGCTGTAAACTGGACCCCTATAATACAACTAATCACAAATAATGATTACGGTAGTATTGCTGACACACAGTGCCTCCGAGGGCAATATTTTTTTCTAGTAAGAATAGTTGATTCAGAATAAAACTAAATGTTTATGTATTTATATACATACATTTGTTTTACGACTCATAAGTGATGAGTTATGACTTCTTCATTAGTGCTGTACTGTTGTGCTCTTAACAAAGCCCCGGCTTATGCAACCTTGGCAGCTCTATATTGGTATTCAGCACCTTTAATGATCTCTTAAAAATTTTCTGGAAGAATTCCCTAACATGGCAAAATGTGAGATTAGTTGGATACTTTGGGCATTCCCTATCCAGTTATGCATTAAAACCATACTTAAACTTGGTGATCCAATAAAATATCTCCATTGTCTATAGAAAGACAAGCTGAGAAAGAACTGGAGGTATTTCTAATATTCTGACAGATATCTTCCCACTCCATTGGCTGTAGAAAAGGGTTTTCCTTGTTTCCCATTTGTTTTGGACTCTGATCTTGTAAATCTCCTCCCAGCTTGCATAATTTACCACATTCCTTTCTTTAGTTCTGCTTATTTTATTTACGCTCTGGGAAACTTTTGCTTTCCCTGAAACTTAGTGTCTGTTTATAGCGAGGAGTTTGCTCATGAGCTCCCAGATGTCTTTGCAACAGATGGGGAATTAGCCGTGAAGTTTGGGCCAGAGTCCAACTACTAATTGCATTGTCTGAGACTTTAAACTCTTATCAGATCTATGCTAGTCAGAAGTCTAAATATGTACCGGCAGCTAGAGGTAGATTTGAAAGATGAGGTGGTGCTCTGACATTGAAGCTGGGTATGCTATGTCCTGCATAATCACCATTAATAGATGTTTTGCAGGCAAATTAGTTTGAGCTCTACCAGTGCAAATCCATGAGCATAAGCTCAATGAGGTTGCACAGGTATCATGGGGGCCTAGGTTTTTTGACTTGCAGAACCTCCAAAGTGAGCTGCTATTGTAATGGGAAGAAACCATGACTGTCAGAGCCCAGGTGAGTTTGAGGGACTGGCATTTAACAAGGTTTTACTTAAAAGTGAGTAAACTTGATGATGATTGTCCTGGGTTTCCATAATACTTGGGGAGACCATCACATATCTATAAACCTATTTTAAAAATCTGGTGAATACTTTAACTCTTTTGTATGAGAACAGTTAATATTGTATTTTTGCTCATTTTACAGAGGATTAAATGATGTTTTTACCTAAAGCCTCTAAAAGATTAATATTTAATCTATAAACTTAACTTTCTTGTGCAGGATAGGTGCTATTTCAATATCAAAGGCAGCTTAGTTTCTGTGGAGGATGAAGTGATAATCATACAACTACCTGGCATACAAACTCAGTGTTTTATAAGGTCATCTTTACACAGTAAAAACGAGGGAGAGAGGCTCAGTTTGTGCCTATGTTTTCTCCTTCACAGCCCAACTCCTCACTACCCCCTCCTCCCCCACAGACACTTGTGACATCACACTTTTCCAGAGCTGCAGAATGTTGTAGATAAAGGATTATGACTTCACTACATGGTAAACCAGGAGTTTGGAGGTTGAGGTGAAATCACTTATTTACTCCTACTTGCAAATAGCAGGAGGGTGAATATGGGGAAAATGCAGATTAATTTAATTGTTTTGGTTTAAATGCTGAATGCTTCATTTACCTCAGTGTGAGTAGCTTTTTAATAAAATTATTTCAATAAACACAACTATATTGTAAACTCGTAATGCTCTCCTAGAGCAGAAATCATGGAGTGATTGAGAGCTTTACTAAGATTAGCCACAAGAGATTAAAACAGTGACAAATGTGCTTTGCTAGTGTTTTCAGAAGTGCCCAATAGCTCCTGCGGAACTGAGTGGGTTGTTGTCAGACACTGGTAGATGGTCTAACTAGCAGATTTCTATTACAGTCAGATTAGACTGCTCAAGTGGAATTTAAAATACTACATTACTAATCAAGGCAGCCCTAATTTTCCATATCAAACAAATGAATGGCTTATATTTTGCTCTCTTTATTTAAGGTTTATGTCAAGGTATTTGTCTTCCATTGGAGTTAGAACAGAAATTGTCTACTATCTAAAGCTTGTCTTTGCTTTTGTAGATTGAGATTGAAGATGTGATAACAATAAATCCAGAGATTTTAGAAGAAATTCCTTCTGCTTCTGATGTGAAAGAGAACCTGCCTCTGCAGGAGAATGTAACTGTACAGGTATGTAATCCTTAAACTCTTCAGACTCTTGTTATAGTACTAAAATTCAAACAGCAGCATGTCGGAACATAAATAACTACAAAATAAGTACAGATTATTTTTAAAACTGCTTTGATTCTTTCACTTATCTTCCACTTTAAACTTTGAGGTCTCTGGGTATGCATGTTTTGTTCCATTTGGATTTTTTGGGCTTCCTGTGCTGTTTTTTATAAAAACAGGCACATTCTTGTATTTGTTACCATATTTTAATTGTATAATGCAAAGAGCATGGTAGATGCTTCAGATACTTACTGCAGTGGCTTTTTAACTTTTTGCAGAAACAAAAACGTAGAACAACCCTTTCAAAAATTCCTGCTCCACGAGAAGGTAAAAACGACTGTCTTCATTCTTGTCTATAGTCCTAAAACAAAAATAAATTATGCTGGAGATTTACTCTAATTTAGGCAACACAACGCTACAAAATGTACTAATTAAGCAACTGTACTTTATGCTGGTTCCTTAGTGAAATTTGAGTCTTAAATCATAGTCCTAAGGCATTCTGAGGTTTTTCTACGTCTTGGAGGCTTCCTACCTTGGGTACCCTAATACAGGCCTACCGCCAGCAGGAGGCTTTTGTGTGTTTATGAGCTGGCAAGTTGGTAATCACAATTTGCTTTTTATCACAACAGGTTTTTTTTTTTTTTTTTTTCTCCTCTAAGTTGTATAGTTCTACAGGCTTCAGGGGAATTCTAGTAAATTCCACGTTGCAAATTCCATAATCCAATGGGAAGTGAGTGTGTAGAGAGTTTCCAGAATAGGGTCAATGGTTCTTGTGTCAACAGAATAAAATGTTTTGAACAAAGCTAGTTGAGGATTGGGATGTGGCAAGGGAAGGTGTGGTCCATAAGAGGTTATTCTTCCTGGGCTGGCAGGTATGGGGCTGGCTGGGAAATAGTTCCCTTCCCATATCTAACTTCAGCTTTCAGATTTTAGTTGACTAATGTATTCCTTGGGGCTTTTTGTTAGTTTGGGGAGGAAAGATTACGAGTGTGTGTGCAGTTTGCCATGTCGATGCTAATGGTCACAAATGTGACTAGCTCTCCATAGAATTCTAAGTTCTGAATTAGCATCCTGTGCTAGCTATGTTCTCCTTGCCCCCTGCCGTGTTGCCTCTGCCTTCCTTCCCTCCAAAAGTGCAGCAAGCCTCCTGCTTGCTAGCATTTGTCCTGTCCAGTACAGTAGTGCTAAGTTCTGGAACAGGAGGCTTCCACCCCAGCTGCTACTGGCTTTCTAAACTCTCTCCCTCTCTTGGTTCTCTGTGATGTTGGAGATAGAAGGCAATACAAATCTTGTTGCAGGGAGTGGCAGATCTGATAGGAACAACCCAGGCATCCCAAACTGACACAAATTCACGTCCCTGTCACTAATCCAGGGAACTCTCCATAAAACTGGTAGACTGGAAATTGTACTAGGAGTTAAGTAGTGATTGTCTCTAGGCTGGTCACTCCCTGGTAGTGAATGGCTAGCTGACCAATCAAGTGCTCTTAACCCAGCCAGTCACTGACAGATGGGCAATGCCCTCCCTAGAGGTCACTGTTGTACTCTGAAGCATACAATATAAGTGAAAATCTGCAGTGCATGTTGCCTGGCTCTTGTCCCAGTGTTTTAGTGCAATGGTTCTCAACCAGGTACTTAGAGGTCTTCCAGAGGGTACATCAACTCATCTAGATATTTGCCTAGTTTTACAACAGGCTACATTAAAAAGCACTAGAGAAGTCAGTATAAACTAAAATTTCATACAGACAATGACTTGTTTATATTGCTCTATATCAGGGGTCGGCAACCTGCGGCATGCGTTCCAAAGGTGGCACGTGGTCTGATTTTTTTTAATGGCATGCTGCTGCCAGCTGGGGTCCTGGCCGCCGGCCCCCCTCAGCCCGCTGCCGGCCTGGATGGACGGAACCCGGGCCGGCAGCGGGCTGAGGGGGGCTGGGACCAGTGACCGGAACCCCAGACTGGCAGCGGGCTGAGCCGCTCCGCCCGCTGCCAGTCTAGGGTTCCATCTGCCGCCCACGCTGCTGGTCTGGCTCGCAAAACCTTAAATTAATGAAGACTTGGCACACCACTTCCCAAAGGTTGCCGACCCCGCTCTATATACTAGGCACTGAAATGTAAATATATTTATATTTCATATGATTTATTTTATAAATATATGATAAAAATGAGAACAAGCAATTTTTTGCTCAAATTGTAAGCAAGTAGTTTTTTTAAGTGAGGTGAAACTTGGGGGGAACACAAGACAAATCAGACTCCTGAAAGGGCTACGTAGTCTGGAAAGATTGAGAACCACTGTGTTTGTGCATAAAGAGAGACCAGCTCCGAATCCAGCAGGAAAGCAAAGTAGTCTGTGTTCTCTTTTGCTAAACATCTATGCTACAGCAGCAGGGAACAATATTCTCCTATTTTGAGTCCTGCATTACATTGGTTAGAGAGTTCAACACTTTCAGGTCCTGCAGACCTCTTAGGCTGAGCACATAAAAGGAAGCAGAAAGTCCCCATCAGTGTGTAATGTACTACTGTATCTGCTAGTGAGGGAAGCTAAAATAAATGGTAATTTTTTCAAAGTTAATTGTAAAGCTGGCTCTGCCTAAACTAATCTTGCTAGTCTTCTGAATTATGGTATTCTGTCCTGTTAGGGAGCAGTGGTGTCACCATACTGCATGCCATTTCTTTCCGTAATGAAGTGATCAGAGTGCTGGAGACACTGAGTGTTTCTGGTGAGCTTAGGTTTGGAAATTGTTACACTTCACAAAGGACATAGCGTTTAATTCCATCTCCAAGCATAATGAAAGTACAATTCTTTTTTGTTCCTAAAGTGGCAACGGTGACACCTAATATGTCTGCGCCCGAGCAGCAGCAACCAGGTAAAGAATTCTGGTGTGATCTGCACTGAGCTTCATGGGCACAATTACAACTCCTGTGCACAGGGTTTATCCACAATTCTAAGAAACATTTGGTGTGCAACAGAAATCTTGTCTTCACATGAGAATACTCATTGCTCTATTCTGGATAAATTCCTACAATTGCTAGAGGTGATAATAGATCTAATTTTTATATTGCACTCCAAATTTTTCATGTCAGATTTGCTTTCTTCACAAAAGGCCTATTTTAAGCTATTTGAATGGGTGCTATAGCCTTGGCATAAAAGCTCTAAAAGAATTTCCAAGTAAGAAGCTGGCCACTGTCTTAAAGTAATAGATACCTAAATGTGTGACTGCTAAGACATTAATTCCCTTGCAGCTTGCATGGTAAACCTTGAGAGAGTGCAGCTTTTATTAGACAGATGCTGTAATCATAGCTTTTAAGTGAATTTAGCATTGGTGGAAGTTTCCACGCTGGCTCTAACTGTACTTAGGTACTATGGTGATGGGCATGATACCTCCTCAACCCTCACCTGGGGAGACAGTGATCACAAAGAAGCTGTCTTCATGCTTATGCTGTCTTTGGAAGTCTCCACAGAGACTTTAACCAAGGTGCCAGTTTTGTGATGTGTGGCCTAAGACAGACAAATTCCTGTCAAATAGTCACTGGATTTACAACACCTTCATCAAGATTGGTTGATCCAGTGACCAGAAGCATGAAGATGAGCCTTCTGGTCCCTTTTAGGAATGGTAGCTCAGGAACCTCAGCATAAATTAATTAAAAAGAAAATTAGGATTAATTAAAGTGGAATAGGAAAAGGAATCCATTGGAACTGCAAATCTGGAGTGAACTATTTATCTTGCACTAGTGGCATTTTTCAAGAACACTCTTCACCAAACTGATGACTTTCTAGCACTCTGCCTCACCCTAAACTTCTCTAAAGGTTCTGAGATCCTGCTGTGAATGGTATCTTTTTAACCAGGCTGCTTTCCTTATTGTTCTGTACTTTCATGAGCATACTGAGCTTCTTTTTTTTTTTTTTTTTTTAAATTAAGAAACTGGCCTGCTGTTGTCAGTGCTCAATACTGACCTTGAATTCTTTGTTTCCTAAGTATTACGTAGCCGTTCTACCAGGATGTCTGTTATCACAGAATCCCAGGGCAGCCTCCAAGATAATGAGATGGAGGTGGATCCCTCCACTTCTGCACAAACAAGAAACCATTCAACAGTGCCTGGTGAGTGGAGACAAGCCCAGTAAAACGTGATTAAACTGAACTGAATGTCTTATGTGTTTCTAAATGCTTATCTCATGGGTGTGCAAACTGTAAAAGCAGAAAGAGCTGACCAAAATCTCTTCCCCTTTTAAACAGAGAAGGGAAGAGACCACAAGAGGTCAGTGATCGTGCATTTTACATAGGGCTTCTAATTAAGAAGGATCTCAAATCACTTTAGAAATTCTGCTGATGTTGAAAAAAATAAATCACTTAATCCACCACATGCATGTCTTGGGATGAATCTGACATCTGTTTAACAGTGCACAATAGCATACGTAATGCTAGGATGGGAAGTGAAATATCTGCTCTCTTGGAAGTGCAAAGTGTATTTTTACCCACATGGCAATTTGGTTTGAGTGGCAGGGTTAATGGCCCTACTCTTGCTAAAAGAGCTATTAATAGTGCGTTTTATATCTCATCTGAAAGACTTAGCAAGGATAATTTAAGATAGGGACAATATTTGGGGACAAAAAAAGCTGGATTGCCGCTGAGCTGTACTGGGTTGACCGATTCCATTAATTGGGTATATGGATGTACTTGAATGTAACCAAAGTACTTCAAATTCTGCATCAGTACTGATTACAGGTACAGTCACATGTATTTACACCTATTGGGTAAGGAAAGAATTTGAGCCCTGCTTTGTTCTTTTGGAAATGCAGACTTAATGCTTTATTGGTAGCTACTGCTGTTAATTTTCCTACACCACGCAGCAAAAGCATGTGTGTTGCATGTTCCATATTAGCTTTCATGATGGGCCCTGAACTTTAGAGAGGTTGTCTGTTAAAACTCAATCTGTTCCATGCAGACTTTGGACTGTGGCTTTGAAAAAGTAGTCTAAGTGTAACAAAGTTGATTTTTTTAATTGCCTGTTGCGCATGTGTGACAAATGTGGGAACTAGTAATTGGAGTCCTACATGTGCCTCAGTTTCCCTCTGTGCTTTGCATTGCTATGCACAGACACTGAAAGATTAAATCAGCACTTGGGCAGAGCAGGAAACATGAGGTGCATTGTATCACATAACAGTCTGGGTGAAATGAATGGGTGGTTAAAGGTCTGGCTGAAACTACCCAATCAGTGGAGGATCCAGAAGGACAATGAGAACCCCAACAACTGAACAATTGACAACTATCCACAGGAAACTCTGGCAGGCAGAACATGTGAACTCAGCATGAGTCTGCAGGAAGAAGGCAGTGTCCTGAGGTGACAGGAGGCTAGGGTAAGAGTTGGCCTTTGGAGAGACACAGGAGCTCACCTAGGATGGACAGACAGGCCTGATCTACATCTAAAACTTAAGCTGATATAACTACGTTGCTCAGGGCTGTGAAATTTTGCACCCCGTGCTCTGTATTAGGTCAACCTAACGACCACTGTAGACACAGCTAGGTCAATGGAAAAACTTTTTTGGTCACCCTAGTTACTGCTTCTTGAGGGGGGGATGGATTTACTGCAGTACAGGGAAAAAAACCCTGCAATCACCGTAGTAAGTGCCTGCGCTACAGCAGTGTAGCTGCAGCTGTGCCGCTGTAGCGCTTGTACTGTAGGCATAACCAGAGAGAGGAAACCAGTATGGGAGCTCTGGCTTGGCCAGTATGGACTGTCTTACCTTTGCTTCTCTATGGTAACCGAAGTGTTCCAGTTGAGTAATAAACCCTACTCTGTTTTGAAAAGGCTGCCTGGTGTCACTGCAAATACATGCTGAGGTTCATTGATCCCTGAAGAGAGCAAAGAGTCTCTGAACAGGAGTCTTCCCCAGTTAGACTCGCTGGGCAGAGCTCATGGTGTGAAACAAGAGTGCTGGAGCCCAGAGGCTCAGTTGTGGAAAAGTTGGGCCCCTTGCTGGTCTGGTACATTGAAGGTTCCTCCAAGGGACACTGTAAAAGCTGGGGGGGCATAGCACAGATCCTGTGGCTCTCAAACAGTATGGATAACTAATTTTAAGGCTAGACATGCATCGTTATGCAGATGCAAAGCATTTTCTTAAGCACAGTTCTCAACTAGTTTGCTTTAAAGTTACACTGCTTATAGTAGGCAAATGCCCTACTCTTCAGACTTGTATCAATGAGATCCATAAACTGAAAAAACTTAGCCAAGGCTGAAGATACTGCATAGATCTTGAAACTTGATTTCATTTATATCTCAGACCTCTAATACGAGTCAAGCTTGAGGGGGGAAAAATTAATAAAACTACTAAAGTTATTCATATTTTAAATCAAGACCACTCATCCTAAACTGTGATGTGTATAAATAAGGTAGTCCTGAGCCTACAGCTCTTGCCAGTTTCCTCTTAATAGGCATTTTTTCCCCTAGCCAGCACTTTTTTGTAGCTTCCCAAAATCTTTTAAAGAAAAAATCTAAAGGTCCTACCCTATTCTCATTGAAATAAATGGCGAAGTCCCCATCTACTTCAGTGGGAGCAAGATCGGGTCCTAAGGCTAATCAAGCATCATAAATTACTTTAAGGCTTAAGGGAGACACGGTGGGTGAGGCAATGTCTCTTTTGCCGACAGAAGTTGGTCCATTAAAAGATATTACCTCACCCATTTTGTCTCTCATATTTAAGCCTTTACATGAGTTTATGCTGCCTAAATCTCTTAAAGACCTCTTGCTGGTAGAGGAGAGATTGGTATGGGTGAGAAGCACTTGTGCCTCACTTAAAAAAACAAAACCAAAAAAAACCCCACACCTGCACACTATGCATTTAAATAACCTTATGTAGAAATATGTACTTGGCCTGCAATTCTGACACTGGGCAAACCTTGATTTTAAGAAATCCGTGCAAAAGATCTATCTGAATACAACGTTAAGGCTGTACAGGTAAGTAATAAAGATAGGAAATGCAGAAGCTAAGGTACAGTGCATAGATATCTTCACTGCAGTAATCTTCAGTTCCATAGTCAAGTATTTAAGTAACTTTATCTTGGATCAAATACATGCAAAGATGTGATCATATAATTGGCAGTACCATAGTGCACACAAATGAGAATAAAGCTAAGGCTGTGTATAGTATAACCTTACAGCAGAGTTCTGCAATATCCTAATACAGTGTTATATGTTGACCTTTTAAAGGAAACACTTACGAATTGTGAACTATTATTGGATTGGCAGTTTTTATACTAAATTACTATGAAGTGGCCACTGGGTGCCTGCATCCCGTGCAAGTGGTCTCCCTCACCTACCATAGAATTGGAGAGCAGGGCAACTCATGGCCTGACTCCTCTCCTCCCCACGCTCTATGGTTGTCTTGGGGCCCTACAGATCACAAGGCTGTTCTCCCTCACTTCTGAGGTCTAACAGATACTGTTCCATTGACCTGCTTCCTTTCAACAGCTGGCCGAGCCCGAACTACCAGGCCACATTGTGCTACAGAACCCTCACTGACAAATGTACATGAAGTTCTAGAAGAACATCCATCTATCAGAAGCAGCTCTTCAGCAAATCCAGGTAAATAAGGACTATTGTCTGAGGACTGGCTGGCTCATTGACCAGCATTGCCTCTCTAAGCAATGTTGGTTAAGATTGTTTCCCCATATGCTCATAGGTTTAATATGACTTCCTGGAATGTGGCTTAGCAGCAAAAGCAAACATCCTGATGACTTCAAATTTAAATATGGTACAGTTTTGATATACAAATAGGTCTGCTTGGAAGGACTGGCTCCACCCCAGAGTAGCAATACAATGGCTTTCTAACTAGCTTCAGTAGCTGGTAGCTATGCTCTGAAGACACCACTGGTCACTGTGATTTTTGTTGGGGGTGAATCGCCCATACCAGTAAGGTGACCTCCTACCTTTTGGTGCCTTAATGCTGTGCTGCTATGGCTTGGAGCCCTGACACTAGTAGCCAGCCCACAAGCACAAAGTTCTCCCCTGGCTTCCACCAGCCTAGTTACTCCTTGTTGGGTGATCCCCAACAGCCCTTCCAGTCTCTAGTCTACTCTAAGTTCTGTAACTGCCAGGCACTCTGACTTCCCCTCTGCTTGTCACCCCCCAAAGGTGTGAACAGCCCCCAGTTATCAGTTCACTTTGGCATGCACACGCCGCACAGATTGCACAGCAGAGACATGCTTGAGGTAAAAAATAAAGTTCACTTAATAGAAAAATCACAGATGAACTAGTAAGGAAAGGCAAACACAAGTTACACAAAATAAACATACACAACTTCAGGCTTTACACTTCTATATTGGATAAATTCCCTTTGCTAATACAGTTACCCATTGCCTCGGAACCGTTTCCCACCGTACTCCCTGTCGCAGAGGGGATCCAGTGTTTCATGGACCCCCCTTCCTGCGTAGGGGCTGCCCCTGTTTCTGAAGCCTTTGTCTTCAAACCCCTTCCCTTTTTAACAGGGTTTACAGCCTTTTTTCTTTCTCTCAGATTATGGTTATTCAGTGTGTGGGGAATTCCCTCTCTACTTGATAGCTGGGGCATCTCCGTGTCTTCCCATTAACTGTAATGGTTCTGTGTTTCTCTTCCTGGGCTATATTATGGATCATCACTTTTGTTTGGTTTTGTGTAAACACCTGGCTCGATAGGAGCCCCTGCCTGCTGTGAAGTGTATTTGCAATTGTAGTACAGTGTATGAGCACAATACTCTATGTACAGAGATTCATAACCACAGTCTGTATAAATCTCTCCTAATGACCATCCAGTTCAGAACGCTACAAGCTTTCATGATACCTTACTTGATATATTTATTAACAACCTTGTATACAAAACCAGATGATTCAGTTGCTAACTCCTTGGGATTCAGACCCTTGTGGTGTCTGTACCTGGATTGTCACAACCACTGGACACAACCGATAAGGAACACTCTCTCTAGGACCAGACTCTAGGTCATGATATCCCAGTTTGTACAGAAGAGGGTTTTGTATGTCCATGGGTGGGGGGGAGGGTGTAGCTAAAGAAATTATTCTGCTTAAAAGAAACTTGTTTGTGGTAAGAACTGCACATAAAAGTGATGTAAATGTCTGTCTTTTTCCAGTGCGGAGGAAATCTAATATTGTGAAAGAGATGGAGAAAATGAAAAGCAAGCGGGAAGAGAAGAGAGCCCAGATAAGTGAGATCAGAACAAAACGGGCACAGGTGCAGTATTTGATCAGGGAGTAACCCTTGGTTCTGCAGAATAAACTCTCATAAGAAAAATTCTATAGGATAGTGTGTTTATGGTGGTCAAACTAAAACACATTTTGGACTAACATGGCCAGTGTTTGGTTTCAGTTTATACTCTGTGTGGATTTTGTTTTAAAGTGTCATGCATAAGGGTGTAAACAGAACCGGTCTGATCTCTCCAGACTGAATTTGTTTAGGGCTGTCCTGCGTAGCTGTTTCTGCAGTTGAAGGCTTTTAAACCCCAGACTTGCTCTTTCAGTTGCAGGTGGCATTTCTGAATCGTAGAACTGGAGGGGGACCTTGATAGGTCATCTAGTCCAGCTCCCTGCACTGAGACAGAACCAAGTATTATCTAGACCAGCATTTTTCAAACTGGGGTCTGTGGACCACTGGGGGTCCCTGAGGGTACTCCAGGGAGTCCGCTGGCCCCACTGATCAGCTGTTCCCCAGTGTGCAGGAGGCACTGGGAGGGAGGGGGAGGAGCAGGGATGGTGTGCGGTTGGGGGAGGGAGCAGAATCATGTCCAGGGCTGCTGGCCCCGCTGATCAGCTAGGGTTCCACCCTCCCAGTTTCGCCAGGAGTCTCCTGGAATCAGGCTCTATCTCCCGGAGGCTACTGAAGGCAAACTGGGAGATTTTAGGTGCTAAAAGTCCAGCGGGGCTAAGGCATGCTCCCTGCCTGTCCTGGCTCCGCGTTGCTCCTGGAAGTGGCTGGCATATCCCTGCCCCCCTTCAGGGGAGGAGGGGGGCAGGGGGTCTCCGCATGCTGCCCTCACCCTGAGTGCTGACTCCACAGCTCCCATTGGCCGGGAACTGCGGCTAATGGGAGCTGCAGGGGTGGTGCCCACAGGCAAGGGCAGCATGTGGAGATCCCCTGGCCCCCCCTGCCTAAGAGCCACTGCCAGAGGGATGTGCCAGTCACTTTCGGGTGCCACCTGCGGTAAGCACTGCCTGGACGGAGCCCTCACCCCTTCCTGCACCCAACCCACTGCCCCAGCCTGGTGAAAGTGAGTGAGGGTGGGGGAGAGCGAGCAACAGAGGGAGGGGGGGATGGAGTGAGCGGAGGGTGGGGCCGGAGTGGGGCCTTGGGGGAAGGGGTGGGGCGGGGTCTGGGGCTGACTGTTGAGGTTTGGAGGTCCCTGAAAATTTTTAAATCAAAATGGGAGTCCTCAGCTTGCTAAAGTTTGAGAACCACTGATCTAGACCATCCCTGGCAGGTGTTTGTCTAACCTGCTCTTAAAAACCTCCAATGAGGGAGGTTCCACAGCTTCCCTTGGTAATTTTGTTCTACTGCTTAACTACCCTTACAGTTAGACAATAGGAAAAACTTCCTGACTCCCTTGCTTCAACTGAAGCCCATTACTACTTGTCCTCTCCTCAGTGGATATGAAGAACAATTCCTCCTCCTCCTCCTCTCTATAACAACCTTTTATGTACTTGAAGACTGTGATCATGTTCCCCCTCAGTCTTCTCTTCTCCACACTGACAAAACTGGGCTTGTTTAATCTTTCCTTGTAGGTCAGATTTTCTAGACCTTTAATCATTTTTGTTGTTTTCCTCTGGACTTCCTCCAATTTGTCCACATCTTTCCTGAAGCCCAGAACTGAACACAATGTTCTTGAAACTATCACAGTATTTTACTGAAACAGATTTAATCACGTTTTGGATCATTGAACGAAGCATAAATTGAACAAAATGATTGGCCACTAGCAATGGAAAAGAGGAGTGGTGACCATTGCAATACTGGAACTCATTGACAAATGGTAGGGTAGGCTGATAACAAAGTAATCGGCCCATAGATAATCCTAGATTACTGTTGAATGGTCTCTCCTCTTCCCTGTCATGTGAAGCTACCTCAGGGAGTGCAGACATAATGTGGTATTCTTATTCTCTTCTCGCTATGCACGGGGAGGAATTTACTATGCTTAAAACTTAATGCTCTTCTTACTGTTCTGCATTGTCAAGTCTTGAAACTCATCAGTATGGCAGTCAGTGTAAACTTCCCAGCTTGACTGAGGTGCTACAACGCAGACACAGCACACAGATTTGGTACTACGGAGAGGAAAATTGGGGTACAAATGGAGAAATGTGAGAAGGCAATGGATAGGTAGAGAGGAGGTGTGCTTATCCGCAGTTGAAATAAGTACTGAAAACTCCTTCAGCTCTGTCCCTCCTGCCGTATAGGAAGATTCCCCCTTCCAAGCAAAATGAGATTAGAGTCCTAATCATTCCATCAGGTTACTTCTAGATGCAGAGTCTTTCACATGTCTTTGCAGCATGAGGACAGAGTAACAATATACTGATAAAGTATGCTAATGCCTGTCATTGCCCTGCAGGAATTTGATAGCAGCTGTCCAAACTGGGAGTTTGCACGGATGATCAAGGAATTCAGAGCTACTTTAGACTGCCAACCAATATCTATGAATGACCCAGTAAGTAAATATTTAGAATTCTTGACTGCAAGGTACCAATATCGCCTGTGATTTTTTTTTTTCACTCATTGAACACTAGTGCTTAGATAGTCATTATCGAAGACATAACCAGAAATACCTTAACTTGCCTAGTTTAACTTGGTGTAGGTATGGATAAGCAGGAACAGCGCTACATCATGGCTTAGTATTGAGTTCACACTACAACATGGAAAATGTAAGTTCAAAGCAGATCAGCAGAACAAGCTGTGAAGATGGTGGTGGAAACTGCCACCACTGGAGTTAAGACTACATTAAATGCCAGAATAACTGAAGTATCATCCTACCCTCGGAAAAATATTACTCTGATCTGTCAGTGACAAAACTTGAGTCTGGAGAAGTAAAACGTAGCTTGCTAGCTGTCGACCTGTGTTCCAAACTCTTGACATGTTGGTCAAGTGCCTCTAACATGAGGAGGCTGAAAACTAAGTGGTGATGTTGTAAATGCCACTAAACTGCAGAATAGGGATTTGTCCAGTCCACAAATTCTTTAAATACCTCTTCTGGCTCGGCTCGGCTCAGCTCAGCCAGTGAGACATGCAGAATGTGGTCTTTCCCAAACAAAATGATCCTATAGCTGGACTTCAGAGATTCCTAAACTTACTGCAGTGTTAATGAAGAGCTCCGATCTAGTGAGGTCACTATGTAGTTAACTTTGCAATATGCAAATCTGGTCATTACATCCTTAGTGTCCCACTGAAATCAGGGGAGCTACTGGAGGGCTGAATTTGGCACATTGATTATAAACATTGCAAAATGTCATGTCTGTTTGGATTTTTAATCTGTTTTGGACCAGGCTCTCATTAGCCCAGCACATTATGTATGTATCTTACAATATTTGCAGCAGGGTGAGTTTTCTGCAATAACAGGATACGGTCGTGGATAACCTGCCAGCAATTGCTCTGCTCTGATCAGTAGTATTAGAGAAAACTCTGGTGGTATTGACAGAATAGTGATGGGGAGTGACATTTGGCCATTTCTACGCTATTGACTTAAGTTGACCTACGTTAGGCCAACTTACAGCCATGGCAGTAATTACTGTGGTGGTTCATGTTCACACTATCTTCCTTCAGTCAGTGGTGTGCGTCCTCACCTTGAGCACTTCCACTGACTTAAGGGGACAATGTGGGGGGTTGAGAGTCAGGGCTGTCAGCTCCCTGCCAGGCTGCCCCCTTCCTCTTCCCCCTGGCTCCACGCCAGGAATGGGGCAATCACACCAGGCCTCTCTGCTCCCCACCAGGGGCATGGCAGCTAACTGGACTCTAGGTGCAGCATAGCTGTGCTCCTGGTGGGGAGCAGGGGCCGAAACCCCAGGAGGGCAGCCGGGCTTCGGGCGGGGAGATCTGCACCCGGTGTCCAGTTGGTTGCCCCATTCCCAGCAGGGAGCCGGGAAGCCAGCTGTGGCAGTAGGACTCCCTGTGGGGAGCCCGGGCGGCAGCCCAGCTTGGAACAGAGAGCAGGCAGCAGCCTGGCTGCGGAGTATGGAGCCGTGAAATTGACAAGAATGACAGCCAATAGATGCAAGTAATGCAGTTTTTACAGGGACACTGTCACCCAAACTACACCGACATAATCCCTGCACCTCTTGTGGAGATAGTTATGTCGGTGTAATAGGGCACTTACGTTGGCAGGAGAGAGGCTGTATTGTGTACACTGACATAATTAGGTTGATGTAAGCTGCCTTACTTTACACTAATGCTGTAGTGTCGACCAGGCCCTTGTATCCTTACAGCCTCCACTGTGACACTGATTTAGCACAGGTGTGGTTGGGGGGAATAGTGATACTCTATTCAGTCTTTCGGTAACCTATCCTTCTCTTAAAGATAGAAGAGCGCAGGATCTGTGTTTGTGTAAGGAAGCGCCCTTTAAATAAGCAAGGTAAGTGTGCATGTGTATTGGCAAAATTTAGCCTGGACTCTGATGCCAGTTTGACATTACTCATTCATGTTACAAATATTTTTTCCATCAACAGAACTTCACAAGAAGGAATGTGATGTGATTACAGTTCCCAGCAAGTGTGTCCTGCTGGTGCATGAGCCGAAGTTGAAAGTGGACCTAACAAAATATCTCGAGACCCAGGCATTTAGATTTGATTTTTCATTTGATGAGACTGCTTCCAATGAAGTGGTTTATAGGTAATGCATCTTCTTACACAGTGGGTGTGAGCAGCACAGGATTAACGTGGTCACAATGAAAATTTAAAGGGTTATTACCTCAGATTGTCTTAGTTTAAAGGGATTGATATTTTACAATACAGCTAACCATATTTGGTTTTGGTAGAGACCAGTGGACTGTGAAACATCTAACAGGAGCCCTTAGCTTAGTTTCTGTCTAATCTTAATGTTTACTACTGGATCCACTTCCATTTGTTGGGATTCCTGGGAATTATTTGAAGATTCTAGATGTATAGTGATTTCTGAAGCCAAGTATGCGCTAGTCAGGTGTCTGCCTCCTTTCTTTGTGCCTTATTCTTCTTTTTATACTTTTGAATTCCTAGGTTCACTGCGAGGCCTCTTGTACAGACCATCTTTGAGGGTGGAAAGGCTACGTGTTTTGCATACGGGCAAACTGGCAGCGGCAAAACACATGTAAGTGACTGACTGGCTGTCTTCTAAAGGCCTCCGATATCTCCGTTTAGATAAACTGATTAAAGCACTTTTGGATATTTAAGGTAAATAGCCTTTCATCCAGCATTTGCATCTTGGTTTTTGATCGTCCTTTTGAAATGATAATGGAGAGAGGTCACTTATCTTACCAAGAGGTGAGTTCGTAACCACTAAAACTTCCGCAAGCGAATAGCTGCTTCCTTTCGTATTGCACAGACCGTCATGAGGCTGACTCTGGCAGTGGTGTTTAGTGGTTGAAGACCAGGCCCAGGCCCTGCTGACTTGTAATCCTGGCTCTGTGCCTAACCTCAGGCAAGTCTCAATCTCTGTCTCCGTTCCCCAGCCTGTGAAATGGGGGACTAGCCTACTCAAAGGTGTAAGGATTGTTTGGATCATATTTTGAAGATGTACACTTTAAAGGCTCTCTCAGCTCTTCCAGTAATACTTAATACACTTACAAAAATAAGCCTCTTCTCGTACACGAATACCCCTGATCTGGATATTGCTTGTGGAGTGGGCAGATCTTCGTTGCTGGGAGTTAGGTATCTTAAGCTTTTCTCTTTCACTTCAGACTTTCTGCAGATCTTCTGTGGCATCACACTCTGGTCCTGGTTCACTGCCTCCATCACACCAGCTTTTAGGTTGGGGAGACCTTGCTAGTGTGAACATTTTTTTTGCCTACAGGATACTCAACACTAGACTTTCAGTAACTGGAACCTGTTTCCTTCCCCTGTAGCTTTCCAATTATTGGAAGCTAAGTCTGAATTTCTCTCCCCTCAGGTCTGTTTTTTGGTAATGATTTTCCCCAGGTCATGTAGCAGAGTGGTCTAACTCAAACCTCTAATCGGTTAGTACCAGTTGATTAGACACATGACTAATCCTGGTATAAAAGATTGATGCTAAGGAAGATAAAGGTCCAAAAAGTAGCCTAGGAATTGTCTTGTGGCTTGTTACTTCCCATTGGTGTTACCCAGACATGCAAAGAAAACTCCTTTTGCAACTTTTTTTTTATTTCTCATAATGGAGGTGATCCCTGGTTGTGGCCACTCCCTATATACCTTATGGATTGAATTCAATGGGCTCATAAATGTTTACACCTATAAAATGAGGTTTATTAGCTTCATCTAAAAACTTCCTGGTCATCAGTTTGGTGCTGTTACAGTCCAGCAGCAGAGTCTGATTTCACAGGCAAAGAGCTTAGGCCACTTCAATTAGCGTGGAATGGGCAGGTCTGTCCCAGCAGTGAACTTCAGCTAAGTAGATTCTGCTAGGAGATCTAGGTACAAATTATAGGTAAGAAAACTACATTTTTCCATTTTTGATCACTGATCCAGAATCAGAACTAGTGCTGGAAAAAAATGGCTGCTTGTGGAAGGACTTGTACTGTACATTGAAGCCTGGCAGACTAAGATACTGGATCTTGTTCGGCTAATGGTTTATATTAAATAACTCCAGTTCCAGGCTTTAGAGGGTGTAGTGTTAATAACTGTTACAGCAATTAACTTCAGCAGCTACCTTCGTTTTGTTGGAATTGAAAGTATTGTGGATGGATGAGCAAGATGGTAGTCACAGTGACACTAACATAAGGTTCTGCCAGGTTTGGAAACAAAGTGAATTCTGCCTTTTCAATGCCACATGGAAAATTTTGCTATCTTGGAGTGCAATTTTTTTTCCTCTCTGAACAGAGGAAGTCAGGTTACATTGCTAAGATCCCAAATTCTTGCTTGTAGGTAAATAGTTGGCTGGAACTCATGTGACTTCCCCTTACATTTCATAGCACTTAGAGGGTCCCTTTGTCCCAGGTCAGGGAGTCCCAAACGTCTTGCTGGTATGACCCCATTTTAATGAATTATTTCTTCCTGGGACCCCAGATGGCATGAAGGACACAATTTTGTAGAGCAAAATGATGCCCTCCACACAGTGTGACCTCTCATGCATCATATATATATGCACTACATACATGCTCTCCAGAATGATACCCTCTGCACAGTGTGACCTCACACACACTGTACATGTGAAGTGACTTTGTGCAGAGCAAATAGTGTCCTCCACACATTAGGGATTGCTATGACCCCATGTGCTGATGGCATGACTGCACTTGGAGTAGGGTTACCATATCCTAGAATATCAGGATTGGAAGGGACCTAAGGAGGTCATCTAATCCAACCCCCTGCTCAAAGCGGGACCAATCCCCAACTAAATCATCCCAGCCAGGGCTTTGTCAAGTCTGACCTTAAAAACTTCTAAGGTTGGAGATTCCACCACCTCAGAAAGAGCTGGCTCCGCATCCCGAATGATTTCTCCTGCTGTGTTCGCAGCTGCCGGATCCTACCCATCCTGGCTCTGGCTTCCAGCCCTGGGAAGGGGGAGATAGCTGTCATTGTATCCCAGGCCTGTGCCAGCCACCATGACCAAGAGCGACATTGCCCCCCACCTCGAGAGTGGAGGCCACAGGCATCCCCTCTGCAGTGTCCTCTTTTTGGGAACCTGAAAGATAATCCTAATTTGGGGTTGCAAGCCACAGTTTGGAAACTACTGTCCTAGGTGCTGGGAAAAACGTGGTTGTCACACTGACGTGTTAACTCATTTTGAATGTTTGGAACTAAACTACATCAAGCTGTAGTTTTATCCTGAATTACATTGCGTAGCATCATGTCTAGATAGTCCATTGAGATCACAGGCTGTTCATGTGGACTCTTTTCCTAGAATATTGTTGGAACTACAGTTGAGTGATAACTTGGCTTGCTTGGACTGCACCTCTATAATGGCTTTTTTTTTTTTTTAAATAGACTATGGGAGGCGACTTCTCCGGGAAAACTCAGAATGTCTCAAAGGGGATATATGCTTTTGCATGTAAGCTGACTCTTCATTGTTTTCAAATCCAAGTTGTGTGTAGTATTTTTCCTTCATAAAAGACTTCAATAACTTCTCACACATCTATATAAAATAAAGGCCTTATGGACTTTAGTAAATTTCTTTGTGAATAAATATTTAAAGAATTCCTATAAACCCTGATTATCATATGTTGTCCCCAATAAGCAGTGATAAATTTAGTTGCAATATTTATGTAAATTACCAACTATAGATATTACCCAATATATAGCTTCTGGCTATAATGGTATTAACAGTAACTTTTATTAGAGCAAAAAAAAAATTAATCAAGATCAAAACAAGCTCTGAGGCAGAGACCTATGTTCTTTGCTTAATGTTTGTTTGTTTAATGTGCGTAGGGTATTGCTGGTTCCTAGCAAACTAGTAGTAATAGCTTGGCCCTGAAGGAAAGTTTTTTGGGGAGGGAGTGGTGGAAGGAGTTGGATTTACTTTTGAACTCTCCCTTTCAGAAAATAGAGGAAGATTCTAGTTTTGAACTCTACCTGCAAGTCTCCTTGTCTAGGAATCCCAACTAATAACATTTTAAAAAAAAAAAAAGAAAACCAAGTGATTCAAAGCTATAGAGGATTGTAATGTTATGCCAAGTTAAAACTTGTCTGTGTTAACCAAGCCAGAAAATAAAATCATTGCTCACTGATAACTTCAGAAGTAGCAGCTCCCATAATCCCTTTCTTTTTTTCAGTCCTAATGAGGACACAGCTGAAATCAGATTCACTTGGAGGTGTCTTATTGTTCAGATAACTCCACTTCTATCTGGCTGGGGCATTTGTCATTCCAGCTACTAGATACTATAACTGCCTTGCTGTGAAGCATTTTGGAAGGGGCAGAGTCCAAGAGGCAGCTGAAATTGTTGCTCTAAAATCTGGTTAGGTCATGTTGTTTGTTTTCTTCCTTTCCCCATCAGCACGCGATGTCTTCCTCCTTCAAAGCCAACCCAGGTACAGGAATCAAGACCTGGAGGTCTATGTGACATTCTTTGAAATATATAATGGAAAGGTGAGATCTTGTGTCTTGATTTGAGCCTGAGTTTTTTCACTATGCATCTGATACATGGTACGATTTTTATTTAGCTATCTGCCTGTCATTGCTGGATCATGGGCCCTTTGCGTCTCTGGTATTGAATTGGAAAGTCTGGGGTATGCATTTCTCGTATGCATAATTCCATGCTATGTACCTGTCCTTTAAATGAGGAAACTGTGAAATAGATTCTTTACGTGTGCATCTCCATCTCCTTGCTCAAATACAGGTGTTTGATCTCTTGAATAAGAAGGCAAAACTCCGAGTGCTTGAGGATGGAAAGCAGCAGGTCCAAGTAGTTGGCCTCCAAGAAAGACAAGTCAGCTGTGCAGACGATGTGATCAGAATGATCGAGATGGGCAGTGCCTGCAGGTTTGTCTCCCTGGGCTTCTGCTTCCTTAATGGTTTTTTAGCTTTCCAGCCTTTATTTCCTATTACAAGTTTTTATAGGATATCTATATAGCCAGGCTTAAAATAAGGGGTAATGAACATTGTCCCCCAATAACAAGCACGTGACTCGGCACCTTGACTCTAAGGAAGAGGAAGAAAATCAGCCAGTAGACCAAATCCCAGAGATAGGAAAGCATGGACATGGGTGTCTTACAATAGGTTTTAAACATGGCTAGCTCATGCGTAATATTCAAAACCTATCAAGGTAACTGTCTGGTTAACAGTACCATGGGATGTCTGTGGGACAGCACCTGTGCACTACAGGGTTCTGAGTGGGAGGCAAGGACTGTCTAATGCAAATTGCTGGTCACGGAACAAATCCGAACTCTTGAAGGCTCTTCCTATACCAGGGTTGAAAAAACAGTGGTGACAGCATGGCTGTGCACTGCTGATTCCACACGATGTGGTGGCTTCTCTGTGAAGCTCCCCTTTGGTAGCTAGTTGAGTTTTTAGAGAAGTTTTTCCTCCAGTTCAGTAGCAAGCAATCTTGTCATGACTCTGAAGAGGCTGGAAGTGCAATACAAAACTTAGTTTAGAGCAGGCCTTGTGTATCGCACTGAATATCTGCATTGATCTATCCTAACCCATTCTTAGTCTAGAACTCCCTAAGCACATTCAACTGAACTTGACAATTGGATTTTTTTTAATCTTTCCAAACTCTAATACTTCCCACAGCAATATGTTATGAAGAGTTTCTTTGTCTCCCTAAAGGTGGGAGGGGAACTTGCCAGCCTTTTCAGAGCGTAGATGGTAATGGAGGTCAGGGGAGGGTGGGGTTATGAAGGTAGCTTATCTACCATCATGCTAAATGTCCACACCCATATGTGACCCTGTTTTAGCATGCCCAGGATTGTATGTCACCTTTTTATCCGCAGCCTCTGGCATGAGGGAGTTTATCTTGTGGTAGCTGGGTGTCAGCTCTTGTACCCAACCAGCCTTTCAACCACTCATGCTCTCCTCAGGATTCTGCCAGTCCTGTTTTGCTTTGCAGGCTATTAGGTGCACCTCAGAAGTATCAGCCTGTAGTGTGTGGTCCCATGCACAGTAATTACCAAGTCTGCTGTCTCTCCCAAAGGGAATTGTTTGATTCAATATAGGATTCACACTTTGCTTAATACCACAACACTGAGATGTAGTTGTAATACAAAAAAGAATCAGTTTATTAATAAAGAACAGATTCAAATGAGTAGTTGAGTAAGAATATTAAGATCAGGTTACAAATAAAACAAAATATCAAATGCAATCCTAAGTGTACACTGGATAATTGTTACCTTTCCTATTCAAACAACTAGCGGTCCTCTCCAGAATTCAGTCTTTGACAGAGCTGCTGGGTTTTTAGTCCATAACCAGGGTCCAGATTTTCATGAATCCTCCTGTATCCTACAAAGGGGTTCTTTTCCCTTCTTCGGTAGTCCAGTAAATCTTTGAAATGCACCCCCGAATCAGACTTCTTCCCAGTTGCTTGTTCTGTAGTATGCTGGTGCTATATTGAGTTCACATCCTCTCCCCATCAACCTGTTTTTTTCCTGTTGACTCTGCATGCAAATGGGGCTTCCTTTGTGTCAGCTTTACCATGCTTAATTTGCATTGTACAGAGACTTGCCTTCCCTCCTGTCTGGAAGAGAATCTGTTTCTCTTTGTTTAGTTACAGACTTTAAAGCATAGTATCAGTAGGCACACACAATTCATCATATAGTGTCAGTGCATACATTTCACAACAATAGTGACGACCAGTGTGTCATCAGATTCCATTTGATACTGCACAAGACACTTCTTGGATAAATACTATGAAAGCAGTGTGTTAGGTGTAGTGGGTTTGTCAGGCCTGATAGGAGTTGCTGACAGAACAGAGAGCCCTTTGCCAGCTGGCATTGAGGGATTCTTAGGATCACACCATATACTTGCTGAAAACATGTAGTGCGGCCCTGCAGCAAACCAAATCTGGACCTGTCAACCCTCCAGGGGTTATTAATTAACATATACTTAAAAAATCTTTTTAAGGATTTCAGAGCATCTACAGTGCATCGGATAGCATTTTGGGAGTAGTTAACTGCTGGACTAACTTGACTGATACCCAAGTGTAAATGGTACTAAACAATGGGTAAACTGTTCCAAAATAAGGAACCTGTCTCATCTTGCAGTGTACACAGGAAACATGATATGGCATGGTGTGTGGTTTATTCCAGGGTATAAATGGTAGGGAAACTGAATGAGGGTTATAAGGCTTCAAGAGAGGGCAGGTATCATTCTAGGCATTAAATACCTGTAAGGAATCTGAGTGTAGTCAGTCAGAGGCATTCTAGCTAGGAAAGCTGATTCTGTACCCTGAGACATCTCTAATTGCTGGCAGTGCACACTCAAACTACAAAACATCAAGGTCAGACTTCTGAGGCACAGGGGTTGATATATTTCCTGTTACTAGTTGGGATTGGTGGTAAACTGCTTTCTGAAGCATTTTTCTCCATGCAATCTGGAAAAATGTTCCTTAGTAATAGTGACAGCCTCCATATACAGCTTCAGTCTCTTCAAGAGATGTTTGATCTGAGTCTCAAAGTGCAGCCAATAATGGGAGTGTCTGCAAAGGAGTATAGCAGAGAAGGATTAGGGCTTGATTAAATCAAGCTGTGGGAATAATGAAATGACTTTTTTAATTCAGTTGTATTAATGTCTGAAAGTTTTTGTTGTTAAAACCGAGCAGATAAACTAGACTTTTTACTGACGTCATTTGTGAATAGCTTATGAATGTTCTTGCTTAGTGCTGGGGAGCTAGGCATGAAAGATGCTTTGTGACATCTAAAATTGTAATAAACTTCATCCATATCTCCACTGTAGGACATCTGGACAGACCTTTGCAAACTCTAGCTCCTCACGGTCACATGCCTGCTTCCAAATCATACTACGCAGAAGAGGGAAATTACATGGCAAATTTTCCTTGGTCGACTTAGCTGGAAATGAGAGAGGTGCAGATACTTCTAGTGCTGATCGGCAGACACGCATGGAAGGGGCAGAAATAAACAAGAGCCTTCTGGCTTTGAAGGTAGAGTATAACTCAGAGCAATGTCAATGTGAATCAGCAAAGGTTGGATGGAAATGACCTATTGGATTATCTAATCCATCTTCTTGCAATGCAGGGCTGTTCCTTGCAGGATGCTTTTTTAGTCTATTTTTTTTAAATGGACAGTCCTCAAAGGAGGCCAACTCTGTACATTGAAAGTTATGCTGCACGTCTTTCCATTCAGAATCCTTTTGTCAGGAGTCTAATAGCTTAAACATGCGTCTGACGAAGTGGGTATTCACCTGCAAAAGCTTATGCTCCAATACATCTGTTAATCTTAAAGGTGCCACAGGACTCTGTTGCTTTTTACAGATTCAGACTAACACGGCTACCCCTCTGAGCTTAAACCTTGTCGGCCCAGGGACTGCTAGAACATTCTCTGAAGCTCTACCCAAATAGTGTATTTAAAAATCCAAGCAGTTAGACAATCCTAAGGTGTTCCTGTAAGAGTCCAATAGCTAGAAGCTCTGAGGCAGGGGCCATATCTTCCTTTGTGTCTGTATAGCACTTAGCAGAATGTGGCTTTGACCCTGCTTGAGTCCTCTAGGTGCTGCTACAATAGCTTATTATTGACTAGTTCTTAGAGTGCTTGCTCATGTCTATTCCATTCTAGGTGTGCGTGTGCCCACGTGCACGGCTGTCGGAGATTTTTGCCTTAGAGGTATCCAGGGGGTCGGCTGTGGTGCCCTCTTGAGTGTCACGCTCCTGCATTGGTATATTAGGCGCCACCGGCCCTACACCCCTTCAGTTCCTTCTTACCGCCCGTGGTGGCTAGTCGGAGTGCCTTTTCCTTGGCTAGCGGTTTTTCGTCCCTTCTGACTTCGAGCCTTAGGACTGTGTAAGTAATTTGTTTATAGTAGAGTCCCAATGAGGATTTCTGCTTGGACTGCAACAGGCCTATGCCTGTTAGTGACCCCCAGAGCAGCTGCCTGAAGTGCTTGGGGGAGTCGCATGTGAAGGACAAGTGTTGCATTTGCAAAAACTTTCAGCCCAGGACCAAGAAAGAGCACGACATCCATCTGAGGGCCCTCCTCATGGAGGCTGCTCTTCGCCTGGCTTCCGAGCCTTCCTGTCCAGACTCTACCCCTAGTACTTCGGTCTCGGTGTGTAGCGCACCCCTGGCACCGGGATCAGCCCAGCACCACTTTCCATCACCGGTGCCCAAAAAGAAGGCCAAGAAGCATGTCTCCCTGGCACCAGGCAAGAAAGACCATGGGGTATCAGGCAAAGGTCCCAGTTCAGGCTGCCTGCCCACACTGGAGCCACATGGACATGCCTCCCCAATCAGGGCCTCTAGCCCCCCAAGGGATCCACCACTGACTCCCAGGAGCGGCAGGGGACCCAGACTTGTGGTGGGGCCGACTCCTTCCCAGACTCTACTGGCGCCTAGAGAGCAGAGGCCTCTACCAGTGCCGACTGCACTGCCTGTGCTGCAGGAAGTGGCAAAGGCTCCCGTCGAGGGCAAGCCAGCCATCCGGACCCCCCAGAGGGCAGTTGAGTGCTGCTGATCCCCAAAGCCAAGGCAGTGCTCTCCCACTCCATGCCACAGATCTCCGGCTTCGCCACCCAGGTCCTTGGCGGTTCGCCCAAGATCACCAGCACCACAATTGCAGTTTCCGCCCTCTTGACGTGGGTCAACTAGGGGGCGGCACCAGTCAGTTTCCCTGGCACTGTTCACTCTCCCACCGGTCGTCCTCTTAGCAGAGCCCCATCCCCTGCATTGTGGGAATAATCTCCATCACGGTATCGGTCCCCCCGGCACCAGTCCTAGAATTCCAAGCACTGGTCTCCAGCGGTGATGGTCAGCCAACAGACGCAGTCATCGACAGCCCCACCGTGGTTACCGGAAGGGGTTTCCTCTGGCAGAGAGGGAGTTCAGCCACTCGGCGAGGCATCACCGGCGCGATTGGGCACTGGAGGCTGCGTCAACCTCTGTGATGCCGCCTTAGCAAAATGGCCAGTGGCCAACACCATGGTCCTATTGGCGTGTGTGGGGCATGCCTGTGATACCGATTTCCCCCTTTGCACCATTCATTGGCCGCCACCTCGGAGCAACAGTTGACAGCACCAGGTTTGGAGCGCGAAGCGCATTTGGTGGTCAGGGTAGAGAAGAAAGTGCCCATCCCGAAGCCCTCTTCCCCCATGGGGGATGATTCCCCGGGGCCTCCCCCGGCAGTACAGTTGTCATTGTCATCCTCCCTGGATAAGGTGGTGGCAGGGTCTTGGCGGGCCAGCCCACCAGACAATTTTGAAGAGCACCAGGCCCTGCTTCGATGGGTGGCCGACAACTTGGGCCTAGAGGTGGAGGAGATGGCCAAGCAGGCGGACGCCCTGTTCAGTGTGCTTCCGGTGTCCACCCCTGCCCATATTGCACTGCCAGTGCATGATGGGGTCTTAAAAAATGCCAAGACCCTCTGGTAAACTGCATCCTCCATCCCTCCCATTTCCAAGAGGGCGGAGAGAAAGTACTTCGTCCCTGCCAAAGGGTTTGAGTACCTACATTCCCCCCCCCACTTCCAGGCTCGCTGGTTGTCTTGATGGGCAACGAAAAGGACAAGCAGGGGCCCACCAGCTCAACCCCCAAAAATAAGGAGGAAATTGTATTCAACAGCCAGCCTTCAGTTCCAGGTGGCAAACCACCAGGATCTCTTGGGCAGATACAAATTTAACTTCTTGAACTTACAAAGGAAGTCCCATGAGTCCCTGCCCCAGGATTTGGCCCAGGAGTTTGACACCCTGGGGGGGAGGGTCTGGTGGCAGGAAGGTGCTCCCTTCAAATGGCGTGGGATGCGGCTGACTTGGCGGCGAGGGTGGTCACATTGGTGGTGGTCATGAGGCGCAGCTCCTGGCTTCAGACTGCTGGCCTGTCCCAAGAAATGCAGGCGTCAATTCAAGATCTCCCATTTGATGGGAATGGCCTCTTCACAGAGCAGACTGACTCATGGTTGCATGACCTAAAGGACACTTGGGCTGCCCTTCGCTCCCTGGATCTGCATACGCCACAGTCATCGAGGAAGCAGTTCTGGCCGCTGCCACCAAGGCCGTGGCAGCCTTGACAGGGGTCTGCAAGGAGAAGGGATAGACACACGAGCTTTAGTCATCGCTGCCCTTCCTCCTCCCACTAGCCTGCGCAGCCCAGCCCCCTAAAGCATCCCAGGGGCCAGAAGCGCTCATTTTGAAGGTGCGCTCGAGAGCGACGTTCCGGTCAACTCCCCGGATCCACCTTGTTCTTTCCTCAACCATCTTCGTCCCTGCCATTTGGCCTGGTCGTGGGTCACCTCGGCCTGGTCGTGGGTCACCTCGGCCTGGTCGTGGGTCACCTCCCTCCCACCCCCCTCTTTAGGGACCCTTCTCATGAGCAACTCTTTGTTCATGAGGTCGAGAACCTCCTGCACCTGGGGGTGGTGGAGGAGGAGGTCCCTCGGGACATGAAGGGACAGGAATTCTACTTCAGCTACTTCCTAATTCCCAAAGCAAAAGGGGGCCTCAGACCCATTCTGGACCTGCGATGCCTCAAGTCTCTCAGGAAGTTGAAGTTTCGCATGGTCTCCCTGGCCTCCATCGTCTACGGAGACTGCTAAGGCAAAAATCTCCGGCCGCACACGTGGGCACACGCACACCTAGAATGGAATTGACATGAGCAACGCATCTCAAAGCACAACAGTTACGAAAGGTAGGTAGGTACATTTCCCCCCCCCAACCCCTGCCCCCCGGAACTATTCTGTGGAGACTTGTCAACCAAGATGGCAGACATTACATTAATGGGATCTATTTTGTCCCTCCAGGAATGTATCCGAGCACTAGGTCAGAACAAATCTCATACACCTTTCAGGGAAAGCAAGCTGACCCAGGTGCTGAGAGACTCATTCATAGGGGCAAACTCCAGGACCTGTATGGTAAGTATAAATGCTTTATGGGCACCTTAAAATGCATGTTCTAATTCTCTATCAATTTATCATCTTTAAGGTTCATAATACTTAAAGTGTGGGCCAACTCTGACAAGTGACTTTCTAGGTGACTCTGGTTTCATATTTGTCTTGGTGACTCCAGGCCAAACTGGATAATTTCACGAGTGAAAAGATGTTTACCTTCTTTCCTTGCATCAGAAAGCTGGTTCTTGGCTGGTGATGAGCCAGAAAGGCTGTGCATTCAGGGTTTAGATACTGCTTTATAAATACATGAACCAGAAAGTCAGTGAAATCCGCTCCCCATCCCATAGCTTTACAGGGATAAAAGTTAGTGAACTTTCTTGAGTCAAATCCCTGATGCTTCTGAATAACAGCCGGGAGCAGGGCCAGAGTAAATTGCTGAGTAAACTTGCACGTACTACTGAATGCTGACTGATACAGCATTTTACTCGTATAGAACATATTAGTGCCCTTTCAAAAGCCCAAATGAGCCAGTGGCAGAGCTGGGAATAGAAACCAAATTCCCAGTTTTAAGACTTTCTGTAGCGGTCAAAACTTCGTGCCGTGTTCTAGGAATATTTTTGCTTTCTAGAGAGCCTTTGTCTTGTCAGGCAAAGCATTTATCAGTAAGCAAAAGCTTGACACATGCTTATTATCTTCCATTTGTTTTCAGATTGCAATGATTTCCCCAGGCATGAGTTCGTGTGAGTACACCTTAAACACCCTGAGATATGCTGACAGGTAATGGCCTTTCTCACTTGTGAATTTCTTCTCCCATTGCAATGGGGATCATGACTCACTAACTCCCGAGCAAACATTTTTGTCGCCCACCTTAGGTCACTCTTCAGAGCAGCTTGGTTTTCTGTGTTTGTTCTGACTCCAGGTCAAATCTGCTCAATCAAAATGGGTTCTAAAAGCCAACTTAGAGCCTTCCTGGCTAGGGCATAATTACCAATAAAGAGAATGCATTGAAACCTTGGTTAATAGGTTTCCTAGCTTTCAGGTTAGGATTGCACTTTAAAAATGGCCTGAGAAGTGAAAACAGGATTTGTTCCCTCTTCTGCTGCTTGCAGTTTTGTATAGAAGCCAAAAGGGGAGGGTGGAGGGGTTTAAAAAAATCTGCCTGCCTTTACCTTAGAAGGATCAGGAATGTAAAGTCTTGCCTTCCCTGGCCTGCTATCAGCCTTGGAGAACTCAGAAATGCCCAGGCCGTGTTTGGTTGGTTTTTCTTCCTGCTATTTGTCAGGTATTAGTAAAATGAGTGTTTATTTTAAGCTGCCTGGATACAAATTGCTTCACTTCCTATCCAATGTTGTACCAAATAGCACTTCAGGCTATTTTCCAGGGAAAAACAATTTGAACAAGACCTGAATTTCTCTGGTGAGAGAAAAAGCAAACTCTTTTGGAAAAACCCAAACCTTTCAGGCCCTTTATACTTTGTCGAAAAGAAACAAAAGGGCACAAACTCTAGTGTTTCCTTGTTGCGGGTCATCAAAGGCAAACTGCAGAGTGACTATCTAATTTAAAATTACATTAAATTTATGTACCAGTTGTGTTGGGGTACTCTTGCAAATAATGCCAAATCTCCTGAATGGTCCCTTTTCCCTACAAAGCTGGCTAAAGGGATGTGTAGCTCATAAATCTGTATGTTAACTTGCCAAGCTGTCGGGATTTTTTTTAAGTTGTAATTGTTGGCTAAGGCATTAGGCAGTGTCTCATTTGGTTGGGAGATGTAGTTGGTAGAAGATCAGTAGCTGGTGATTAATGTTGATGGCACATCTGATCAAAGTACTTTAGGTCCTGAATGCTACTGACTTTTAAACAGTAGATACTATCCCACAGACTTATTAGTGTCAACCCTGCAGCACAAACTTAAATATTTACGGCCCTCATTACCGTAGTATCTGAGTGCCTCACAATCTTTAATATAGTTGTCCTCACAATGCCCCATTCAGGTGGTAATATTCCCACTTCAGATGGGAGAAAATGAGGCACAGAGACTGACTTGCCTGTGATCACACAGGAAGTCTGTGGCAGAACAGGGAATTCAACCCAGGTCTTTGTAGTCACAATCTAACCCTAGCCACTGGACTATCTCTCCTCTCTTCCAGTCAGTTTAGTGACTTGTTGAATTCTTATTTCTCTCTAGTCTGAGAAATTTAACAGTACTGCATTCAATCTCATAAAGTGAGCACTGTACACTTTGTATTCTGTATTGCAATTGAAATCAATATATTTGAAAATGTAGAAAAACATCAAAAAATATTTATAATTTAAATTGGTATTCTATTGTTTAACAGTGCGATTAAAACTGTGATTAATCACGACTTTTAAAATCTAATTAATTTATTTTGTGTTAATCGCTTGAGTTAACTGCGATTAATTGACAGCCCGATTAGGAGCCATTAGGAAAGGAATAAATAATAAGACAGAAAATATCATAATACCACTACATAAATCCATGGTGTGCCCACGCCTCAAGTACTGCATGCAGTTCTGAGTGCCCCATCTCAAAAAGATGTTAGAATTGGAGAAGGTACAGAGAGGGCAATACAAATGATTAGGGGTTTAGGACAGCTTCCATATGAAGAGATTAAAAAGGGACCTGTTAGCTTAGAAAAGAGATGACAACTGAGAGGGAGGATATGATAGACGACTATGAAGTCATAAATGGTGTGGAGAAAGTGAATAGGAAAATGTCTTTCCTCCTCTCCCCCCTTCCCCCCCCCAAGAGTCAAGGGTCACCCAACAAAATTAATAGCAAGTTTAAAACAAAGAAAAGGAAGTACAATGTTGCCAGGGTGTTGTGAAAGCCAAAGGTATAACTGGGTTAAAAAAAGAACTAGATACATTCATGGAGGATAAGTCTGTCAGTGGCTATTAGCCAAAATGGTCAGGGATGCAACTTCATGCTCTGGGTGTCCCTAAGCCTCTGACTGCCAGATGCTGGGACTGAATGACAAGATGGATCACTTGATAACTGGTCTGTTCTGTTGATTCCCTCTGAAGCATCTGGCACTGGCTGTTGTCTGAAGGTAGGAAGATGGGCTAGATGGATCATTGGTCTGACCCAGCTTGGGTTGGACATTTTTAAATTCGTGGGTCCAAATAACCTGCAACAAGAGTGGTTTTTTTGGAGCTTGCTGGTCTGTTATTGTTGAGTTTTTTCAATAAGTCTTGGGGCACTGGGGAAGTCCCAGAAAATGGGAAAATGCTAATATTGTGCCAATTTTTAAAAGGGTAAATGGGCTGATCTGGGTAACTATAGACCTGTCAGACTGATGATGAGGTGGCTGATGGGGGACTCTATTTTTAAAGAATTAAAGGTAGGTAATAGATCTAATGCAAATCAACGTGGGTTTATGGAAAATAGATCCTGTCAAACTCACTTAATTTTTTTTGATATTACAAGTTTGATTGGTAAAGATAATTGTGTTGATGTAATATACTTAGATTTCCATAAGGCTGTTTAAATGTCATGCAGTATCAAGTAAGATTAAAAAACCAGAACAGTACACATTAAATGGATTAAAAACTGGCTAACTGATGGCTCTCAATGTAATTGTAAAAGGGGAATGGTCTTTAAGCAGGTGTGTTTCCAGCAGGGTCCAACAGGCACCTGTTCTTGGCCCTGTGCCATTTAACATTTTTATCAATGACCTGGAAGGAAAAATAAAATCACTGAGCGTTTGCAGATGATCCAAAAATTGGGGAAGTGGTAAATAATGAAGAGAACAGATTACTAATTCAGAGCGATCAGAATCGCTTAGTTAACTGGGCACAAGCAAACAATATGCATTTTTAATATGGCTAAATGTTAATGCCTAAATCTAGGAACAAAGAATGTAGGCCATACTTACAGGATGTGGGTGACTCTCTACTGGGAAGCAGTGAGCCTGAACAAGATTTGAGGGTCATGATGGATAATCAGCTGAACCTGACCTCCCAAGGTGACACTGGCCAAAATTGCTAATGGGATGTTGAGATGCATAAACCGGAATCTCAAATAAGAACAGAGAGGTTATTTTACTTCTGTATGTGGCACTGGTGTGACCACTGCTGGAATATTGTGTCCAGTTTCTGATGCCCACAATTCAAGAAGGCTGTTGATAAACTGAAGTTCAGAGAAGAGCCTTCAGAATGATTAAGGCATTTTTTCTAATCCTTTGAGCTCCTTGAGTCTATCCCTTTAAACTATTTAGTGTAACAAAAGGAAGGTTAAAGGGGGACTTGATTACAGACTGTAAATATCTATGGGGGAAAATGGGCTCTCCAATTTTTCATGAAAAGGTCTAACATGATCCAGTGGCTGGAAGTTGAAGCTAGACCCATTCAGACTGAAAATAAGATGTACATTTTTTTTTATTGGTGAGAATAATTAATTAACCATTGGAACAATTTACCAAGGGCTGTGGTGGATTTCTCCATCACTGACTAATTTTAAATCAAAATTGGATCTTTTAATAATAAAAATAAAATAAAATAAAAAAAAATCTGCTCTAGGAATTATTTTGGGGAAGTTCTATGGCCTGTCTTATACAGGAGGTCAGACTAGATGATCAGAATGGTCTCTTCTGGCCTTGGAATCTGGGGGTGAGGGGAGAAATCCCACTGATGCAGAACTTGTCACTTTTGGATGATGCCTGATGTTAAAGATCAGGCACCTGCTCTCCACAGGTTTCTATTCTTCTGCAGTCTTCCTTTCTGCAACTTTCCCCAGTATCCCACAAAAGGCCATTAATTATCAAAACCTTATGAAGGGAGCTGTCTCTAGTTCATAGATGTAGATCTGCTGCAATTATTTTCTACTGAGGTGTTAAATAGCATTTTCTTTTGTCTTGGATAATCTTTGGGTAGATTGTGACTATTGCTAATCTTGACACGTGTTCCTACATGTTTCCAAATCTGATGTTCCACTTTCAGGTAATTGATCATAATAGGTCTCTAAATTCCTATGTTTCATATATGGGTGTTGGGAGGTGATGGTAACAGCTGCAGCTGCTCGGAGATGGAATCTTCTTTCACACTGACCTTACTTGGGCCTGGTCTACACTACAGTTAGGTCGCTGTAAGCTGCCTTACGTTGACCTAATTACGTCAATGTCAACACTACAGCCTTGCTCCTACCGATGTAAGTGCCCAACTACACTGACGTAATAACTCTACCTCCACGAGAGGCGTAGTGCTTATATCAGTGTAGTCAGGGCAATCCAGTGTCTGAGTAGACACTGGGTTACAACTGCCCATGTCAATTTCACAGCTCTGCTCTGCAGCAGGGGGCTCACAGCTGGAGCCAGGAAATTGACAAGAAAGGCTGGTAGGCTCCCTACTAGGAAATTGAGCCCTGCATGGAGCTCACAGCTGCCCTTTCCCCACCAGCTGGGCTCACAGCTGGAGTCTCCAATCCCCCACCCTGAGGTGACAGCCTCAGCTGTAAGACTGGTGCTGGGCTCGGCTCAATTTCACAGCAGAGAGCCTACCAGCCTGCCATGTCAATTTCACAGCTTCAGCTGTGAGCCCCCTGGCTGCTCTGAGCCTGAGGCAGTCATGACATAGACAAGAAAGGTTTGTAGGTTCCCTACTGTGAACCCTATGCCATGCTCACAGTTCAGGCTGTCACCCTGAAGTGGGTGGGGGGCTCCAGCTGGAGCCTGGCTACTGCCTGGGCTCTCAGTGCCCCCCCCCCCCGACCCCCGTCTGTTAAGTCAATGCAAGCGCTCCTAGTGAGGATGCACGCCACCGACAGGAGGAGGGTAGTGTGGACATGAAAAACTGCAGTAATTACTGCAGTGGCTGTATGTTGACTTAAGTTTGTAGTGTAGACATTCCCTTAGTCCAGTTTCCTTATGCCAACGCCATTCAAACAACTTCTAGGTGTAACACTGGAGAAAGGTCACTGCACTATAACCATCTAGTGCCTGTTGTGTGCCCAATTGCATACCGGGGGTGGGGAGGGGAGTGCAGTATATGAAATATACCATGGCAGGTTTAACTGCCATAAGTGGCTTTAAAGCTCTTTAAGGAAATACCTAAATCTGGATACCGACTGCATGGAGCTGAGAGAAGCAGAGTTATGATGCGTTTCAGCCGTCCGCCTCGGAGCCATAACATTTGAATAAATGGTTCCAATAATCACAAGTGTCCCTTGCTCCGATTATTCATGGTTATGGGGAAAAGGAGCTGGTGGGTTGATTTGGTGACCATCCCCCCTTCCAGGTAGATTACAGCTAATTTAGTACTGAGTATTCAAGTCACAGCCTCTGTCTCGAAGCAGCTCCTAAAGCAAATGTTTAGCATTTAGGTCAGCTAACCTCAATGACTGCTTAAAGTCCTAGCTGGTAATGACACGTCAGTTTGGTGAGAAGTTCGTCTACAGGTAAAGCTCAACTGACAGTTTTCAGTGTTGCTGACCACCTTGGCAGTTTGTCTCTGATAGAAACAGTGGCTTGATTAGACATAAGTCCTAGAAGCCAGGTAGACCTATACTGATGAGGCACCTTGGGAGAAGCACCTCCCAATTGTTAAGGAATTTAACCTCCCAGCACCCCTAGGAGGGTTTTTGCTACCCGTGTGTGTGCTGTGTGGGGAGATAACGTTCAGGGCTGTCAACATGGCATCTTTCTCGGAGCAGAATACTGGCTTGGAGAGGTCTGGCAGTAGCTGTAACTGTTTAAGGTGACCCTTACCAAGGAACTGTTTGGGGCAAAGCAGACTCTGTCATAACGCAGTCTTCCTCCTGTGCAGAGTGAAAGAGCTCAGTCCTTACAATGGTGGGAGTGGTGAGATGCAGAACTGTATGGAAACGGAGAACGAGGAACTAGACAGCAGTGAAGAAGAGTCAAGTCTTCAGCATGACGTATGTTGATAAACTCTCTAGTTAATGGCTTTCCCACACTTCCGTTTATGAAATCCACTTCAGAGACCAAATAACCAGCGCTAGGTACTATGCTACAAAAAGCTAGTAATGCACACTTTAAAGCAAAAACTATTCTCTTGATGCAAAATTGCAAAAGCATCTAAATAGGTGTATTTGTGCTAAAAAATTGGAAAAATAAAAACAAACCATAGATTGTAGTAAATGATTTGGTCTCTTACACTGTAAATAAATTAAATTAATCTGTGTATACATTTGGGTTACTAAAAACAAACTTTATCACGGGGCATCGCACAAACAAAAACATCCAGAAAATATCTGTGTATAGCTTAAAAAAAAATCCTTGGGCATCTAAATTACAAACTCGTCCGTTGCATGCTAGTTGCCCATATAGGGTAGATTGAAGTGCAATCAACTATAGAGATGTTCTAAAGACTATTAGCCAAGCCAGGTCTAACCGTTATTAAACTGATTTTGCTTAATATACACCTGTGGTTTAAAATTTCCCATTAATATATGGCTAAACTTGATTATTGTGTAAAAGCAAATCTATCATTATTGTATACTTTGTTAATATAATAGCATCTTATCAAGAATGTGCACAAAATTCAATGAATGGGCAAAAATCTATTTTGCAGTCTAGTATCTTTCACACTAAACTTCAAAGTTTAAAATTATTGGTTACATTTCAGAATTATTTAAATTTGCAATATCTACTTAAAGCAGGGGTAATAACCCCCCAACTATTTTAAGCCTCAGACAGTGAACATAGCCAAGCAGCTAGGAGTAACCCGCTTTGGGAACAGAATTTGGAGGCTCAAAGAACAATTTCTCTATACTTATCAGGGATTTGTTTCTTCCCATGAACACTAGCTCTCCAAGGAGGAGGAAGAGGAGTTGTCTCCCCATATGTCCAGTTTCCGTGAAGCCATGACTCAGATTAGTGAACTGGAGGAGAAGGCTGTAGAAGAACTCAGAGAAATGAGACAGGTATGTTTGACAATTCAGGTGAGCCCAAGTTGTCTTCTGCATATTGATATCAACTTGCCATATTTGAGTAAACTGTGTTTGGGTGTTCTAGGAACTGGGATTGTGATGCACATGGGAATTAAATGTTCACCTTTTGCTCATTAGTGACTTATTCTAGCTGTTTCTTTCCCACCCTCTCAAGGTAAACTGGCTTGTGGTAATGTCTAGCCGCTACCAGTTACAACCTTCAGATGGTTGGTGCTGGCATTGGCAACGGACTGTCTTCAGAAGCTCCGATCTGCTTAACAGAAGCATAGGATGTGCCATGAAAACATTCCAAACTTGCACAAAGCCACTTCCTAATCAATGTCACTTTTCTAAATCTAGAAGATGACTGAACTCAATGACCTGTTGGAAATGACAGAGCAACCAGACTATGATCTGGAGACATTTGTGAACAGAGCCAGATGCTTCATAAAGGAAGGATCAAGAAATTTCATCAGCATGGGAGGTAAGCTGGGACTACTTCAGAGCTTGCTGTCAATGCATACCTTCGAAGCCCTGTTAGTGGGAATTCCTTGTAAAATATTCTGGGATCCTTCTGGATGCAACTCATCCTCTTCCAGTGCCTCCTGTGGTGGGGACAGAGCTGAGGTGATTGTCTAAGCAAATGGTATGTCCTGTTGCCTATTCTTTCCTAAGCAATATTCTGGCAGGCGTCATCCACTCACTAACCAGTTAGTACAGAAAAATCCTTTCCAAGGGTACAATGTAACTCGGTGATCTACAGTACCCAGCAAAGCCTAGCCAAGGATGCTGAGCGTATCCTGACTTGTCTAGGACATGATCATACATTTTTCCCTTGTTGGAGGGACCAGTGACAGTTTCAAGGTATAGGATTGGATGCTGTATACCCCTGGAAAGCTTGGGATCTCTGCCCTCCATTGATGTATACCAATTATTTTGGTCACTCCCAGGAGAAGGAACATCAGTTTAGACTGGGTCTTAAGTCTAACTTGTAACAGTTGCTGATACGCAGGTTCTAAACATGGCTTGTGGCCATCTACCACAAGGCAATATTTGTAGCCACTGCAGCGAGCCATGTCTTGCCAGCACCTAGGGCTGGTGTGCACACTTTCCTTTTTCTTAAATCCAGGCCATTACACTTGCTGTAGGGACTCCATTCCCCACTCTATGCGCATATAACCCAGCTCGCTGGCCCTTCTTCCCAGATCTGTGCAGAATGAATTGCCTTGTATGCTTCTGATACTGTTCTGTATGTGTTCCCTAGGCGCTATCTCAGCTACCTTGATTTTTCCCAGAATGCACTAATAGCAACAGTGAGGCAGGCAGCATAATGTGAATGCACACGGTTGACTGGTTGACACGTGGTGATGTTGAGGAACTATTTACATTTTAGCCGTGTTTATACCCAGGCCAGACTAATGTCAGACTGGCTAAACAGTATTTGGAATACTCTTGTCTTTTTGCCCCCACTTCGATATCAACTTGGCTTTAATTGTCCCTATTTGGAAGTACTGGGGCTACATCAAACCCCGAATGCCTTCTGAAGGGCGGAGGCATTAATCTCTGTCCAGGAAGCACATGGGAATACTAACTGCTAAAATCATGAGGGACTTGAAGTGAAATGTTTAGGGAGCAAGGTGGTTTCTGTACATAAATATCCTCGCCTCAATCTGCAGCCCTGTGATGTATGGCAGGATCCTGTGAGTCAGCAAGTGGAGCTGAGGATTTGGAAGAGGATAAGAACTGCCCCTAGTCTAGCCGCCTCCAGACCCTGGAGAGGCCAGAGAGGCATGGCGTTCTGGGGGCTGCTTTGTGTGGCACAGGTAGAGGAAGTAATGTCGATTACAGCTGGGAGATGAAGCTGCTGATGGGGGAACAGGAGCAGAGTGAAGGAGCCTCTCGGGCCAGGCAGGGAGCCAGAGCAGGAGCTGAGGGAGTATGACATTTCATGGTGCAATCCAGAGCAGTGAGGGGCTGTCACCACTTGCCCTGCAACTTGGGGTGCCTTGCTGCTGCAGCTCCCACCTAGGCTCCTGCAGCTCACAGCCGGAGTGTCTGTGTAAAGCCATAGCCCTGAACCAGCAGCCTGTCAGCAAACACCAGCCACACTCTGGCTTCCACTAGCCTTGGAGGGTGACCCAACATGCTCCTAGTCCCAGATTTCCCCCCAGAAATGTCTTGCACTGTACAGTCCTTTCCTTAACAGTACAGCTATATTAGGTCCATTGCCCTCTATGGGGATCAATACATAACAGCTTGCCACCTTAAATGGAGTTACCTAAATGAGTCACTACACTAGATTAATTTTGATTAAAGAACCAAACAAGTTTATTTAACTACAAAAAGACCAAGTACAAGTAATGAGGCATAAAAGTTAGAAATGGTAACCAGAAAAATAAACAGAACACTTTCTCAACTTGGTTCAAGGTGAAGTTCTTACTATATGTTTTCAGTACATTGCTGACCAAACTCTCAGACCAGGGTCTGCTCCCAAAGTCTATAAGAGAGAGGGGCCGGGAGAGATCACTTGGTATTTTTGCCCTTATTTTTATAGTTCAGTCACCCTTTCAACAGCACTTTCCTGAGAGTGACTCCTACTTACATTTCTTGCCAGCTGAGAGCAAGGAGACGTGGAGGACGGAGGCTTCTTGCTGTTTCTTTTCCCCTGTGTATGTTGAAATGCAGATTTTCTTTATCCTCTTTCTTCTCTCGTTGTCTGAGGACTCTGTTTATCTCAGTTTGCATATAAGCTATAAACATGCACCCCTTTGTTTGACAGGCCTGTTTGACCAGTTCTACCTAATTGGGCCTATGTGGGTTTGAACATGTGCCCGTAACATTACACATAATGTTGCTATGTACATTTCACCATGATATCATTGACCAGTGAGGAGGAGGAGTTCAAACAATACCTCACAAGGCATATTTTGTACAAAGATGATTACAATTGTGTGTGTGGGGGTGAATACCGGGGTGCATTTCCTTGCAGGCAGGTAGGGATAGGAGTCAGGGACTCAAGGTTCTCATCAACCACCCAAGTTCCTGCTGTATTCTTACTTCCCCACCTCCTCCCTGCTCGGCTCCTAGCTCTTCCTGTCCCCTTCAACCTCACAAAACCCAGATTCCAGTCTCTGGGCCCGGAACAAATGTGAAATTGAAACGGTCTCAAACACTGAAGTCACCGTGTGTCCAAGTCAATCTGCCACCTAACTTCCAAACTTCATTGCAGATGTCGTGGAGTCCCTGGCTCTTGCCATGCAGTTGGAGGAGCAGGCCAGCAAGCAGATGAGTAAGAGGCGGCCTCAGTAAATGTACCAAAACCTGATTCACAAACACCGTTTTTCTCTTCTCTGTATGTGTCTATCCCATGTCAGTAGTTTCTATGTTAACTCTGCCTATTTTAAATGTGATACAATAAAGTATACTTCAGTCAGCTCTACCTGAAGACAAGAGGTCAGAATAGCAGCCTTTGACTATGCAGTAATTGTTCTAGAAATGCCCTCTTGACAGTGGGGGAGGGGAAACTTGTAGTTCTTCCTGTCATTAGATGCCTCTTCCCCCTCATTTAGTGACAGACTTATCTGCTCTGATGTAACTAGATAAACTTGTGTATTCTTGTGTACATAAACTTTTTTTGCTTCTAGATATATTGTGAAATGGTTTAAAAACTGCAACTCTAGCTGCTTTACAAAGGAAATGGACTACACTTAATTGTAAAAAGAATAAAATAAAGTCTGTATTTTTTTAAGAAGTTTGGCTGGTAGATAAATATTCCTGGATTTATTAACTGACTTGTAGAAAATTTCTTGTCAACTGTCAGTTCTTTAAGAAATTCTCTGAAGACCTTCCCCCCAGAACAGACTGGCCTTTATGGCAGAGACTGGCTTTTGGGACTGGTTGGTCATTAAAACCTTTTGAAGTTTGTAATGTTTGTATTTAAGTAAAAAAATCAATTAAAGTATCTTGTCTCTTGGTTTTTGGAAGGGGAACAGGGGATAAGTCTTTGGACTAGTGAATCTCGGCTACAGCCCAGAATGCCTCAAATCCACTTTATAGCACTTAGCAAAAAATTACTTTTTGAAGTACATCAGAAGCAGGAAGCTGCTAAACAACCAGTGGGGCCACTGGACAATCAGGATGCTAAAGAAGCACTCAAAGAGGGTAAGGCCATTGCAGAGAAACAAAATGAATTCTTTGCATCGGTCTTCACGTCTGAGGGAAATTCCCAAACCCGAGCCATTCTTTTTAGATGACAAATCTGAGGAACTGTCGCAGATTGAGGTGTCATTAGAGAAGGTTTTGGAACAATTGATAAACTAAACAGTAAGTCACCATGACCAGATGGTATTCACCCAAGAGTATTGAAGGAACTCAAATGTGAAATTGCAGAACTAACTGTAGTCTGTAACCTATCCTTTTTAAATCAGCTTCAGTACCAAATGACAGGAGGATAGCTAATGTGACACCAATTTTTAAAAAGGGCTCCAGAGGTGATCCTGGCAATTACAGGCTGGTAAGCCTGACTTCAGTACTGGGTAAACTGGTTGAAACTAGTAAAGAACAGAATTGTCAGACACATGGGTGAACATAATTTGTTGGGGAAGAGCCAATATGGTTTTTCTAAAGGGAAATCATGCCTCACCAATCTACTAGAATTCTTTGAGGGGTCACAAGCATGTGGACAAAGGGGATTCAGTGGATATAGTGTACTTAAATTTTCAGAAAGCCTTTGACAAGGTCCCTAACCAAAGGCTCTTAAGCAAAGTAAACTGTCATGGGAGAAGAGGGAAGGTCCTCTCATGGATTAGTAACTGCTTAAAAGATAGGAAACAAAGGGTAGGAAAAAAGGGTCAGTCTTCAGCATGGAGAGAGATATAGTGGTGTCTCCCAGGGGTCTGTACTGGGACCAGTGCTATTCAACATAATCATAAATGGTCTGGAAAAAGGGATAAACAATGTAATGGCAAAATTTACAGATGATACAAAACTATTTAAGATAGTTAAGTCCCAGGCAGACTGCAAAGAGCTACAAAAGGATCTCTCAAAACTGGGTGACTGGGCAACAAAATGGCAGATGAAATTCAATGTTGATTAAATGCAAAAAAAAAAATGCACATTGTATAGTTGGGATTATGTTTTCCATATAAAATGATGGGGTCTAAATTAGCTGTTACCACTCAAGAAAGAGCTCTTGGAGTCATTGTGAATAGTTCTCTGAAAATATCCACTCAATGTGCAGCAGCAGTCATAAAAGTGAACAATGTTGGGAATCATTAAGAAAGGGATAGATAATAAGACCAACAATATCATGTTGCCTAAGTATAAATTCATCATACACCCACATCTTGAATACTGCATGCAGATGTGGTTGCCCCATCTCAAAAAAGATATTGGGATTCAAAAAGGTTCAGAAAAGGGCAACAAAAATGATTAGGGGTATGAAATGGCTTCTGTATGAGGAGAGATTAATAAGACTGGGACTCTTCAGCTTGGAAAAGAGACAACTAAGTAGGGATATGATAGAGGTCTGTAAAATCATGACTGGTCTAGAGAAAGTAAATAAGGAAGTGTCATTTACTCAAACACAAGAACTACAGGTCACCAAATGAAATGAACAGGCAGCAGGTTTAAAACAAACAAGTATTTCTTCACACAGTCAACCTGTGGAACTCCTTGCCAGAGGATGTTGTGAAGGCCAAGACTATAACAGGGTTCAAAAAAGAACTAGATAAGTTCATGAAGGGTAGGTCCATCAATGGCTATTAGCCAGGAGGGGCCGGGATGGTGTCCCTAGCCTCTGTTTGCCAGAAGCTGGGAATGGGCAATGGGATGGATCACTTGATTACCTACAGGCCACAGGTAGTACCCTCTGTTTGTAGCATTACATTTCAACATAGAAAATGTGGATTACACTAAATTAAGTGCATAGAAATTACTATCTGGAAACAAAACAATTAAAAAAAGTGACATTTGAAAATGTCTCTGAAAGTTATTTTCAACAAGCCTTTATTATATAAACATTGAATTGGCAAGTAACTTGTGCTAAATAAACATGTTGAACCAAAGGGCAGGATTAATATCTGTGACAATGTACCACACTGGAAAATATTCTCACCAACATAACAGGAGCCCAAAGCATTCCTAGGCTTAATTTGATGGTGTCACACAAAGAGCAAAAAATAATCCCTCACTTTACATTTAAAAAAAATTTAATTTAAAAACCTCTCTTAAACTTAGCAAAAAGACTTCCAGTTTCTTTTGAAATGTATAACAATTTGACACTGATCCTGGGCGAGTGGCCGGGACACTGGGCAGGGGGCTGCTTGGCTCCACATCTAGGGCAGGTGGAGCGTCCTCTGTGGCTCTCCACAGCTGCCTACCCGGCTCTTACCGTGGCCAGGCTGTGGCTTGGAGCCACCCCCGCCGGCTGGAGCCAAGTCAGGGAGAGCAACGCAGGTAGCTGTGAGGAGCTGCGGCAGACCCTCCACCTGCCCTGGGTGGAGAGCCCGAGCAGCCCCTGGCCTGCGTCCCTGCCGCCCAGCTTCCTTGCCCAGCATCCCTACCCCCTGCCCAGTGGCCCAGCCCCCCACCCAGGGCAGGTGGAGGATCTGTGCTGCAGTTTTTCACAGCTGCCCACCCAGCTCTTACCATCAGAGCCCTGTGTGGATACAAAACTTGTATCTGCATCCACGCTGCTATCCACAGAAATGGTCCAAAGATGCGGACTTGCAGGGCTCTAGAGACGGGCATGGCCCGAGAGGGCGGCAGAGGGCGTGGAAGAGGGGAAAGAGGCGGGGCAGAGGAGCTGACCTCATTCTGTTGTTTGAAGTTTTCATTCCGTGCTTCCTTCCTCTGGAAGAACAAAGCAGAGCCTTGAGTCGCAGAGGGGCAGTGACGCCAAGGAGATCTGGCTGCCCCTGGTGTTAATGCTGGGCAGGGTTGTGTGGGGAACCCTCTGGCATCCAGACGCTTACATGGGACGGCACCTGAGCTCCATGCAGGGACCTGGGATTCACCCTCTGCTCTGGCCTCTTGCTCCCTGGGCTGGCCCCACACCCATCTGAGGCTCGATTCTCCTCTCCCTTCCACTGGGGGATCCCCACTGACTTAGAAGGGCTGACTCTTGATTTATGCCTGTCTAAGCGAGAGGAGACTTGGTCTCTGAGTCAGCCTTTTCATGCCCCCTACACACCTTCCATGGGCGGCATCCTTTCTGGGCTTGCTAAACTTCCTGGGATGTTCACTTTATTCGATGCCAGAATATCAACCTGTACTGCATCCACGTTCATGTACAAGGTCTTGGCATCTCTCTAGGAGAACCAGCAAAAAAGGCAAGAGGTTAGCAGCTCGCAGGGACTTGAGGCGGCAGCAAGGACACGAGAAGGGCCAGCCAGAGAAGGAGGAAGGTTCCTGACAAGCCCCCTCAGATGGGCAGTCTTGGCAATGACGAGCCAGTGGAGTCCTTTTGCCAGTCTCCACACGTCATTGCACTGAGCATAGCCCTCAGCCCGGGGGCTGGCTGGTGTGACTGACTCCTGAGTAGAGAAACCAGCGACGGGACTGGGAGCCTGTGTTGGAAAGTCTTGGCACTCCCCGGTAAATGACTCCTGCTCTCAGTGTTCCCTCTTATTTTTTTACATCCATGTGTGGAATGAATTTTGTTATGTGCACCAATATGGAGGTGATGTGTGGTGGGGGTGGGGCTGAGGGGTTTGGGGTGTGGGAGGGGGCTCAGGGCTGGGGCAGAGGCTTGGGGTGCAGGGTGGGGTGAGGGCTCTGGCTGGGGGTGTATGTTCTGGAGTGGGGCCAGGGATGAGAGGTTTGGGGTGCCACAGGGCTGCGGTGGGGAGAGAGGACTCCCCCAGCCCTCTCACCGCAGCAGCCTGAGGCTGGGGGGAGGTGTCTCTCCCCACTGTGCCTCTGTGCGGCCACGCGGCTGCATAGCTTAGAGGGAACGTAGCTCTCCGCTGCTGCAAGGCAGAGGCTGTTCACATTAGAACAGTTTAAGTGAGCGGTTGGTTGTCAGGGCAGGCCCACAAATCAGGATGTAACCTGTGCTGCAGGGGAGACACCATGATCACGAAGGTGGTTTTCCAGGGTGAGGCTCATCCATTGCACTGCGGGTGTGCTGACCCCTGCGATTTCCTCAAATGCGGGAAACTCGACTGCATAATTTGTGGTAGTGGGGGATTGCGTTCACGCTCTCCCCTGGTGCTCGGTTAAGCAAAGGAAGACGAAGTTCAACAGCCATGCACGAGAGGTACATCGCAGTCCCAGACTCTCTTCCCTCCATCCCCTCCTGAGGATGGGCCTGGGCTTTGAGCACCGTGCAATCAAACTTAAAGAGCCAGACACCCAAAGGGGGTAAATTGGCACGGCCCTTCTGAAGTTAACGGACCCAGCTGTGTCTCTTTTCGCCAGCTGAGTTTGCCATCTACCACTTCCCCCAAAAGGAAATAAAAGGGAACTGGGAAAGTCTTATTAGACCCCATTGAGTCCAGCATGGCCCAGGATTGTTGCCTGCAGGACATTTCCTATGGCTTTGTCCTGCTCAGGTTTAAAGGGCCCATGTGACAGGGCTTCCACTGATTTACATGGTGTTCACTCCTGAGCTACCTCAAGGCAGGAGAGCTCAGATTCAGACGGAGGCTCATGCCTACCTCCTCGTTCTGGGTACACTGCTAGCCCTGCAAGTCTCACCACTTTTCCAACATCCCCACGCAAATGTGAGTCCAGACACGTCCCTCAGTGTTACTCCATTTACACTAAAGACGGGCCCCAAGTCAGAAAAGAACCATCCCCTCTTCCCAGACTTCAGAACTCAGGTCCCGCTGTGATTTGCACCATTGTCCCACCTCATTAGTACAGATGGATAGTGCAAGTGCACATTGATATCCACTGCATGGAGTGAAGTCTTTGGGGGTGTTGGGCCAAAACCAAAGCAATTCATTTAACTGAGGACACTGTGATCGGACCCCAGTGGTCTCTGGAGACTGATCAGGAACTGGAACTCCACTGCAGCTTTAGAGGAATGAAACCCAGTCCCCATTAATCCTGCAAAATGGACCCATGTTCCAGACCAGTAACAAGCCCTGGCAGTTAGAGAAGCCCATTTACCATAAAAAGCTGGAACAGAGTCTCTCCTGTTGCCTTCCTCACATGCTGCTCCACAATGGGAAATGTCCGGACAAAATACTGCAATAAAACACTCCCAATAAGTACAAAAGGAGGGAGGGGGTGTCTGGCTCCACTGAAAAGCAGCACCCTCACAGGATGGTAAAGTGCTCCAGTTCAGTGCTCCTTCCCACCTGGGATTTATCTGTCCATTGCCCCCATTCTGCTGTTCACCTCTTTGAGCGCCAACACGGCTGGAGGCCGGGGTTAAAGAGCTGGGGAAAGGGTTGGTACAACACCCAAGCCCCGCCCCCAACTGCCAAGCCCCACCCATACTGCTAGAGCAGCTGGATTTTTCAGTTTCTGTGATCGGCAGGGGTATGGTTAACCATCGCACCACTGGGCTTTAGAGCCGACGTCCCCTGTGGACCGGAATGGAGGACCTTCACTCTGGATTTCTCTAGGTTGCAGGCTTTGGGTTGGGTTTGAAGTATGGTCTTTATGTTGAATTTCCTGATTTTGTATTATTCAAAACTGCAACCCATTCCATGAAGGTTTCTTCTCATTTACTTACTGCCCTTAACTCCACCTCAATGAAGGTTTTTTGTCGGGGAATCATGACTGTTAAGCAGAAGGAGAACTGGAGTTGGATAAGCTCGTCCTCAAGCACTAAGAGCAGAGGGGACACAGAACCTGTAGGTACGTTGCTGTATCATCAATGCCCTTTTTTTCCAGCCTTGCCCCAGTGTGCCTGGTCCCCTTTATCTGAATAACATCCACTGCTCAGGAGCTTAGGGGGAGGAATCCACATTAAAATACACATTGCCCCCCACAGAGATACTCACCTCTAGAGTGATGCTGGCCTGTCTCTGGCAGGTGGTATGATCCTGGTTCCCCATAGCACACAGAAGGCCGTGCACCACTCTCAGCTGGATCATCTCTTCGGCCAGTTTGGTGGAGTCCTTGGCTAGCATGCTGCAAGGAAATCAACGCAGTCAGGCTCCAAGGCTCTTCTGCATGGGAGAAGACTCCCACAACAACAGGAGCTTTCTGGGAATGAAATGGAAGAGCCACATCTAGCGATTTGGAGGGACAGATTCTAGTCCTGTTGCCTTAGGTGTGGTGCTGATCCAAGTGCAAAGTGATGCCTCCATCTTTCCATGTCACTAGCGAATGACTAACACCAATGAACAAGGACGGATGCTATTCTTAAACTGAACAGGAAGCCCATGGCTGCATGTGAACTTTTTAACATCTATGTTTGGGGCTCTACAATTCTTTTAACGATTGACAATAAAAACACCCGATTTACATATTAAATCCCAGCAAATCCACTACGTTACCCCATAGAATGCAGCATCCACGGTGGAACAGTAAATTACATTATTTTATTATTGAGCACATCACTGGAGAAAGCAACATGGCCGGTGTTTTGTGTTGTCTTCTCCTTTTAAAGGGAGCAATTTGGCATCGGCCCATCTTGTGGACTCTGCAGATCTCTAACAGGAAGTGAGCTACAGAGAAGCATGGAGACAGAGTTTCGGGATTCACTGGGTCAGACACCGACTTTGGTTCCATGCACTATGCTGTCGATGTCAAATTGTTAAGTCGTGGCATTTCACTACAAGAGACTCTCTGCTCCCCTGAGAATAACACAGGCTCTGTACTGTTATGTAGCATGGTTTGGTCCAGGTATGTGGCAAGGTGCTAACACTGTCCCTCTCTATGCTGGCCTGGAAACAGAGGGAACATTCTGACTCTGTATTAATTAATCAACCGGAGTAAAGGTTGATATTATATTTCACCTATAATAAAAGCTCTGAATAATTTCAGGTGTTGTTAGTAACAGGGGAGCATCTGGATTTTGCTACCCAAGCGGAAGTGCTTCTCTCTAAGTTCCTGAGCACTGTTGTGGATGGATGAAAGCCCCCGAAGTCTATATGGAGGAGTTGCAGAGCCACAGGGAAATAGACAGCAATGGCAGAGGGCTAAAGATTCCCTCGGAAGGATAACGACTGACCTTTTCTCCATAAAGGAAACGGCTTCTCTAAATACTGTATAAATCTCTGTAGCGAGGCAGCCTGGTTCCCCGCCGCCCCGGAGGGGGACAAGCCCCTCCGGACGCCAAAGTGGGCGGAGCCAGTGGAGCTTGCACCCGCCCCCCAGAGGCCAGGGCGCAGGACAGAAAGTACAAAAGGCCAACCCCAGAGCTCACTAGAGGCCTGGCCTGGCCGCTGGAGAAGCCAGACGCCTGTGGCCTAGCTCCTGGTTGGGAGACTCTTGCAGTTTGCGACCGACCCGAGGACTGGCCAGACGCCGACCAGACCCCGGGGAAGCTGGTAAACCCGCCTGTGGCAAGTTACCCAGAGGAGCTGCCAAGCCTACCGCTCGCCGGGTACCCGGAGGAGCCCATGGTGCTTGATTCCTTGGAAGACTCTGTCCAGACGCAGGTACCTCTAGAGGGGGAGGTAGGAAGTAGCCTGGGGGCAGCCGACCCTTGTCTGGCTGCAGCACGCCCAGAGCCCATGTCAGTGTGTTGTGGCCAGGATCCCCACTGACGCAGCAGCGGGTCTTCTGCCACTGCTAGGGCCCCGGGCCGGGACACAGTGGAGTGGAAGGGCCTGCGTCCCTCCTGCCACCCAACGTGCGGGTGGCCGTCTCCCCCTCTCCCAGGCCGCTCGGAGCCAGGACCTGGGCCTCCTAAACTTATTTGTCTGCTCAGCCCCTGCCTGAGGGCCTGGGCCACTGACTCTCTACTGCCCCGCCCTGACCCAGGGCCTGGGCCTCTCAGCTCCTGCCTGAGGGCCTGAGCCACTGACTGTTTGTTACCCCGTCCCGATCCAGGGCCGGGGCTTGCTAATATTAAACTGTTCATTCAGCCCCTGCCTGAGGGCCTGAGCTGCTGCCTGCTGCACAGACAGGCTAATTCCCCGACTCCCCTGACTTAAGTAGCAAGGTGGCCTGATTCCCCGCCTGGTTCCTACAATCTCCCTTTGTATTTTGCTCTGAATTTTCTTACCCGATGGCTTTTGCTGCAGCGGCTTGCTGTATATACACCGACAAGGGCTCCGGAAGATGGAGTGTGGCTGGGTCTGAATGGGGGAACATTAGACAGGATGAAAACTACGGCTAGAGCCATACTTCTGCCAGAAAGCTTTAGTTATAACCTGGGGAATCAGAGCAGTAGCACCTGAAGAAAAGAGGATTTGTGAGATTAGAGCAACATCCCTAAGGGAATCTACACACAAATGTACTGTAGCCCAGTGCTTCACGAGGAGCTCTCGCTGCTCAGCGACTGTGTCAGGCTAATGCAGCAACTCAAACAGCCTGGGACATTGCAGTCTGTTTCACTGAGACAGGATGGGGGTCAGAAAACCAAGGTTTCCCTGACTCTTGAAAAGGTGTCCTGGGATCTTTAATTTCCTCTGGCCACATGCAGAAGGGAACTGAGTTTAAGATCTCCTCTGAGAGAAGGCGCCGCATCCCCTGCTCTCCATTCACTTTGCTGCATTCACTGAACAAATCCACACAATTCACAAATAGCATCAAAATTCCCATTCCTGCTCCGAGGGCTCCGACAGGCTGCCTGGCAGTTCCCATTACCCAAAACAGACAAAGCTGATCTCTGCAACTCGCCAGAGGGTCACTGGAGAACAGGACTCAGGAGCCGGCATCAGAGGAAGCTCTGACATCCATATGTGGAGGTACGTCTGTACACTGCAGTGGGGACGGGGCAGGGGATATGGAGGCCTGGAGAGTGCAGTGCCGGCCTCCAGCTGCCAGGTGGTCCTGCTTGCCATCTCCTCTCACCCTGTCGCGGGAAAGGGGAAGGGAAAAGAGAGGGCGACCGCAATCCCAGGACAGACACCCCACGTGCTGGGACGGCACCAACCTACCCATGGAGCTCAGCTGCCCTGATGAAGTGGGGAGGAGAAAAGAGGGAGATTCCCTTCTAACTTGGCCTCTTGCAAGGCAGAGCTTAAGGGACACGTGGTTTCTAGGTCCTCCTGGGAAGGGGACGGGGGCGCCTCGCCCCTTGCTATGTTTCCTGTGGCGGTGGGCATCAGCCTCCCAGCAGGACCCAGCACCAGCCAGTTGTTTCCCCCCCGCCCCATAGCCAACCGCTGCAGGTGACCTCACTGCTCCCTGGAGAGGGGGTCCAGGCTGCAAGAGGAGCACACAGGGCCCACTGCAATGGGTACCATGCCCACTAGGAAGAGACTTCTGCATCTCCTCTTCTGAATAGCCGACACCATCTCAAATCAGCCAAGAGGTTGGCTGCAGCATCTGACCTCTGCCAAGGTAGCGCAGGGATGGATTAGTGAGGGCCGGTTCCACTCAAGGATACTAAGGTACCAAAGTCGCCCATCAGTGGCTGGTGAGTCACCTGAGCAAGCAGAGAAAGAGCAATCCACTTTGCAGCACTCTGCAGCCTCCCAGCAGGCATGAAGGGAAACTGTTGTGACCTCTTACCTTCCAGGGCTCTGCCTTTCACTTTAGCAGTCTCTTTCTCTGGTGCTTTAAGTAATTCAACCAGACCCTTCAGCAGCACTGGCCGGACTTCATAGGCCGTGAGATCCTTTATCAGCTGAATGGCTAAAGACAAGGAAAGAGGCCAAAGTGCCACCTTGGTGCTCTAACAAGGCTGCACAGCAATCCCAGCAGCAGGTGAAACATCAGAGACAATGGTTTGAACGCTGGCTTCTGAAAGAGCTGTATTTTCCTTCTGCCTTAAAGTAAACCTCCTTGACTAGGGTTGGATTCTGCTCCGTTCCCTTCTGGAAGTTGCTTGGAAACAGAACAGGAGGCCAAGATATGCTCTGTGCATCTGAGAGCAGAATCATGTTCTCCTGGGCTCATAGATCCCAGGTGACATTATTACCCCATGGGCTGGCCAGCAAGAGTATGTGGATAACAAAGAGCCCAACCAAAACATGGCTGGCTTTCTATTACGGCATGGACCTCTGTATTGCATAGAACTCTCTGGGACACAGTGGGAGGGTGCTGGGGTACTGGACATGTGAGGGTTACATACATTTTAAACACGTGCACCATTGAGAGCAGCGCTGGCCCACAGCAGGCTCCAGGTGGAAGGGGCAGGAGCAGCTTCCCCACACACCTTTCAGGAGTTTCAGTCTGGGAATGTTGGGCATTTGGAAAGTGCTGGCATACAGAGGCAACAGCTCCTGCTGGGAACTCCCAGGCCCTCCACCGGCAGGGGGCAGGGGCAGGACTCCGGAGCACCTCAGAGTCATCAAGCTCCAGGATTAGTGCAAATATGAAACCTTTACCCCGTTATGTAGTAAAGCTTCAGGCGCCACACTCAGTGTCCCCCTCAGCTTGCAGCCACCTGCTCTGATGCCTCCAACAGCCGGGCAGCAGAGCCAACCACCCCCAGGGCAGCTGCTGAGAGGCCACAAGCAGCTCCGCACCACCACTTCTCAGCTCAGCTCACAGCAGAAGGGAGACGCTGGGTCTGGTCTGGGAGCAGGGCTCTGGGAGCACCAGCATATTTGCATACCCACAATGCATTGCACATTGAAAAGCCTTTCTTTGAGCATTTCAGTGTCCGTGGAAAGACGTGCCAATTTCTGTTCCTCTTCCCTTATGAGGATTGGGCTGCACAGAACACAGAGCTCTAAAATGAAAAGATTTGTAAGAACCCTCAGTTCCCCTCCAAAAGTCATCCTACTTTGATATTTAGGATTTTTTTCTCCTCAAAGGGAATAAATCTTTTGCATTTTACTAAAAATTTCTGTGGCAATAAGCTTTTCTGAGTTTACATGCAATTTTTCGAAATGTTCTGTGAATGAGTCTCATTTTTGTGGAAAATAGATAAATTTTTTATTTGATGTCTATAAAAGCTATGAGTCAAATGCTTTGTTTTCATAAGCCATTGAAAGTTTAAGTGAAATTTGTTTTTTTTTGGGGGGGGGGGAGAAAAAAACTAATTCTTTAGAAGTTGCATAAATCCCCATTCTGTGTCCTTGCACCCCCAGTCCACATGTGTCCCTCTACCCCCACTCAGACACCCACTCCCCCCATCCCCATGTGGCCCTGCACCCCATCCCCCTGTCCCTTTGTGGCTCTGTACCCCTCCTCCTATCCCTCTGTGTCTGTGTCCCCACCCAGCCACTCCCCTGTCCCTATGTGTCCCTGTCCCCCCTCCCCGTGTTCCCCCCACCCAGCCACTCCCCTATCCCTATGTGTCCCTGTTTCCCCTCCCCCTGTTCCCCCCACCCAGCCATTTCCCTGTCCCCCCTCCCCCTGTCCTCATGTGTCTCTGTGCCCCCACCTATCCAGTCCTCTGTTCCTGTGTCCCTGAACCCCCTCCCCCTGCCCCATGTGTCTGTGCCCCCACCCATCCCTATGTAGCTCTGCACCCCCCTGGCCCATCACCATGTGGCCCTGCACCTCTCTCCCCCCTGTGGCTCTGTGCCCCTGCCCCAGTCTGTTCTCCCCCACTAGCCCTTATGAGTCCATCTGACTCCCCCAGCACCCCACGCTGTCTGTCTCCTGACCTGGCCTGACAGGCGCTGTGAAGAAGTCAGACTCTCTCCTAGCTGGCCTGGAGATGCTGCTTTGTTCGATCACCACAGCACCCTCTGGTGGGCAAAAGGCGGAACTACAGCAACATTTTGGCAGAAGCTTTTTTCTGAGCAAAAAATTTTAAAATATGTGGGGCTCATTAATTAATGATGCATACAGTAGCGCAGAATTCCCCCAGGAGTAAAAGAGAAATGCTGTAACTCTGGGCCTTTACAAAGCTGCTACACTAGGCAAGTAGATGAGCTGCTGTGGCTATCGCTTTGGCAGAAATGGAAGGCTCTGCAATATCAGTGCTTCAGGCGGAATTCACCCGCCGAGCTGTTTGCCCAGAACTTCTCAGTCATGAATTCCAGAACTAATGTCACCTATTATCTAGAACGTAGAATCTCATTCCAAAATAAACAGTTTTTGAGCAAGGCCTTTCAGCATCATCAGAGTTATGCTAAAAAGATTCACCACAAAACCCAGCTGCCACCAAGCGAAACCTTCAAGCACAAACTTTGTTAAATTACAATAAAACTCCTGAAATCATTCTATTTTTTACATCAAAAAGCAACCTCCGTAAAATAAGGCTTCCTTTGTGTGTATGTTTACCTGCTTTAACCTGGGAAATAAGTTTCTTATTTCTTTTCCTAGTTAATAAATATTTAGTTAGTTTATTATAGGATTGCCTAGGAGCATTGTCTTCGGTTTGAGATCTGAGGTGCAATTGACCCAGGTGAGTGACCAGGAATGACCTGTCACAAAGGCAGGCTCACCTGGGTGGCAAGATAGATTCAGGGTGCCCAAGGGGGCTGTCTGTGACCCCATGTTCAGGCTGTTTTAGTGCCTGAGGAGTTCACACTTGATACTTGGTTGGTGAAAACGAAGTATAGACCATACAACTATGAGGAGCCCCGCTGTCTGCCAGCCCTGGGCACCCGGGGCTCCTACTGTCTGCCAGCCCCGGGCACCTGGGGCTCCTGCTCTCTGGGGCTCTGGCTGTACTAAAAAGAAAGGTATGTTTCTAGCTTGCCCGATTGCAGAGGAAATGTTGAAAATGGGACCTGAGAGCACCTTAAAGGTTCAGAAACCGGAAGGGAAATAAAGAGACCCCATATGACATTAAAAAACAAAAATCCTCATGATTTTTAAGCCAATCTCATGATTTTTGGGGATCTTACTCATGATTTTCCAATGGTGAGGGATGGCAACGCTGATAAGGGTTATTATTTTGAATTTACATTATAGTAGATTTGAAGAAAAAAACCAAACTCATCAGGACTGGGACCCCTGTGTGCTGGGTGCAGCACGACACCTAGTGCCTTCACTTGATTTTACAAACCAAGATACATGGGACATAAGCTGGGTGGGGAGAAGTCTATGTAACTCAGGCAGTTATTTATAGACCTGAGACCTTCAATATTACGAAAGAAAGAAAATCTCCCTCATAGACCCTCCAGTCTGGAAAGCATTAATTCCTCATATTGTCAGAAGGATTCACAGCAGAAAATAAAACCCCAGCTTTTTAAACAATTCTCCAGTAAGACAAAGAAACTGACATCTATAGACTCCCAGAATGCTACAAGAAACTTTAACACTATCTCATCGTAAACAAACCAATGCATTTTAACTACTGTAAAAATCTACTTCAAATAAGCCATACAAAACGATCTCCTTGCAGTGAAATTCTTTCTATTTGTCTAACCAGAATTTTCTCCCCAAAGGAAAGGTACCATTCCTAGAAATACTACCATAGCATGTTGATACATGGGGTGGACAAAGCAAGCTCCTATTCCATCACCCTATTTCAAAAATCAATTTGATGTACAATGCTCAAATAAAACACACATCAGACATTACATTGAAAAGATTAGGCATTACACTTGATTTTAGCTGAGAACAGCAGAGAAGTAAGGTGGAGGCCCTCGGATGCTCCATAGTCCCCCCCTGCCCCCAATACTTTTATGTCACCGGGAACTGGGTGTCTGGGTGCTGGAGATAGGTAACCTGCTAAGCAGTTTTCACTTAAAGTCTGCAGCTTTGGGGGCGTGGTCCAGACCCAGGGTCTGTGTTGCAGCAGGCTAGCGTGTCTGGCTCAACAAGGCAAGGTTCTGGAGTCCCAAGCTGGCAGGGAAAACGGGCTCGGAGGTAATTTCAGCACATCAGGTGACAGTCCCAAGGGAGTTTCTGTGACCGAACCCGTCACACCCCTGTTTCTACAGTCTATTGCTCTGGCCCAGTTAAACCGTGAGTTTGCTCCTCAGAACCAGGGTCTCTGGGAGCAAACCCAGCCCATGGACCAGGGAGTTGGGATGCGGGTCATGATGCGCAATGCATTATGGGCATGCAAACAAGCATCCCGGGGCCTGCAGGGGATCCCGTCCCACCCCCTGCGGTCAGTACAGCCCACCTGGGGGCAGCAGAGAGCAGGCGGCTTGTCCCCAGCCCCTGCCGCCCCCGGGCTCTGCCGCCAGGGTTGGGCTTTGCTGGCCTGCAGCCACCGCACAGCTCGTTAACCCGCCCGTGGAGACCCATGTCCCCAGCCCCGCTCCTGCCTCCTTGGTAGGAGGGGAAAAGCCGGAGACACGCACAGCCTTTGCACAAGCAACACCTCTCCCGGGCCGGGCATGGAGGCTGAAGCTGGGGAGCGGCGCGCTGACAACACGTAGCTGGGTTACAAACCACCCACCCCCCATCAGAGGGTAGCCGCCGGGGTGCGATCAGGTATTGTAATGGGCCCTCCGCCTCCGGGCCTTGAGACTCGCCTGTTTTCCTTTCCTGTTGCCAGGTCAGTTAAATTCCTTGGAGCTCAGTGAGCAGCCGAAAGGCAAATACACCCAGCCCAGTGCTCACACTCTCAGCTTCGGCTGCTGCCTTGGAGTGACTCTTGACAGGCTCACTGAGAACCTCCCCACGAATGACTCAAAAGTCTGCGTTCCTCCTCAGCAGACAGCACAAGGGATGTGCAATACAGTGATGGTTCCTACCTTCATACTGAACTTCCAAGTGCATTGAGCTGAGCACGCCCAGCACAGCGTCCACAATGCCGGGATGGGCTGCTCCCACGATCGCCTGACAACGAAAGGAACAAGAGGGGTGTTACTCCTCCCGGCTCTCACATCTGCAGCGCACTGAAATGTTCACACGTGTTTGATCCTCAAGATACAGAGAACTGCACAGCACTTTGCTCTGAGAGACTCAGGGAAATGGGCTCTTGGGGCTGATTCTGCAACCATTACTCAGGTGAGCGAGCACTAGGACTCCTCATGTAAGTGCTCACCAATGTCATGGTTGCCCAGTCTAGCCCTATGGTTCTCAGACTAAGGACTGCAGTTATTGGGGCAGCAAACTATTCATTACTATTATTTCATATTTTTAATATGGCAGCACCCAGAGGCTCCGATCAGGATCAGGGCCCCACTGCTCTGGGGCTAGACAAAGAGGTAGAAAAGTCCCCTGCCCCAAAGAGCTTACCGTGAAAGAAGACAAATGTTCTACAAAGTGTGGGGAAAAGGGAGACAAAATCTCCCATCCTCTCAAGACTCCTCAAACGTGAGCATGAGGTTCATTGATCTCCAGCTAACTGAGGCACCAGAACAGCGTTACGATTTTAATAGTGCTCTATCTGGGAGCCTCTCTCTCTCATGTGGTATGTAACAGAAGAGAGAAAGACATAAAAGGTAGGTTCAAAGATCAAGGATCCATGATCCTGCAGATTTGGGGGGGGTGGCCACCCCCACCCTTCCTTGATGACAAGGGACTGACATTTCAAATGGGAGATTGTCGGAATTAAATTCAAGAGCATCAGACTGCATCAGAGCTGCTACCCACCTACCTCACTGCTTAGCTCTATCTTAGTCTGGGTACTTAACATAGAGCTAGAATTGGTTATGTAAGTGCATATTTCCAGGCCAGGGAGAATTTAAGAGGGGTCAGAAGACCACAACCCCATTCCCTCAATTAAAAAAACAGCACAACCAAAGTGCAGGATTTAAAACAGTGGCACTAAAGGCCGTATAGTTAATCCTGCATGCCATTCCCTTTGAAGTTCCCCACAGAGTAGTGGCAGGACATGTCTTTAGAGGCATATCCTCTCCTACAGCCGAGGTCATACGTTTTCATACCAGGCTTTCACAAAAAGTAACAGATCGGAGAAGGGGAATTATAAAATATCTTCCAGATTCCATTTATTTAAAAGCAGCATATTAGATCCTGATGGAGCAGGGACTATGTAGACAAAAGTAGCAGCCTTTCTACACTCAGCACTTGCTCACACACAGCCTTGGAGTTTAGCATCTGTGTTACTGAGAGGGAAAAGTCTACGGGGGGAATTGTTCATGATTTCGTTATCCAAATCAGACAGAAAACAGTTCTGTGCACCCCATTGCTTTTCAGTGTGTTCTCAGAACTCAGGCACAGGAACCTGAAGAGCATACTCTGTGCTGATGACATGCAACTGAGCGCAAAAGGATCCTGGCTTCAGACGTCTCTTAGCCAGTACTACCTCAACAAGGCACTTTCAACTCGGGTTGGCTTATCCACACAGGATATGCAGCCTTAGGACACATCAGCTGAGTACATACTGGGTGTGCTTGTGGATGCAGTAAGCTCTTCTCTGGGCTCCTTAATAAGGCAAGAACTGTAGCAGGATTTCCACGCACCTTTAGCTTCCAGATTACAATAGATTCATTATGAAACAGAGTGTTCTGATAAAACTAAAGACTGGGCTAAAGTTTGATTCCATCCCGTTCTGCTTACCTGCACAGTTCTGAGTGTCTGCAGAGACAGCTGTTGGGCTTTGGGGGATGTGCATGGCAGCAAAGCAATCAGTCCTTTGTATACTTGGTTCTGATACTTGGGATTGCCGTGGCCTAAAGAATCCAACAGAATTTGCACTTGTTCTTGAGTCTCTTCGGACTTGGAATTGGCCAAGAACTCAGCTATTGATCTCACACCTGTGGATAAGAAAGCCCAAGTGGTTACACATCTGAGGTTAGACGGCAACTTGGTAATTTTATTGAAATCCAGAAAGAATCAAAACCAGGGCCGGCACCAGGCACCCAAGCTGGTGCTTGGGGCGGCACCGGGAGGGGGGCGGCGCGGCGCTCCGGCCGCCGGGGAGAGCGGGGCCACAGCAGGGCTCGCCAGCCCTCCCCCCGGCGCTCTGGCCGCCCTCCCCCCGGGGCTCCTGCCGGGGCTTGCCACCCTGCGCTCTGGCCGCCGGGGGG